TTTCACTGCTGTTGATTTCCTCTTTGTATCGTTTTTCCTTTTTCAGTCATTCAGCTGTTTGTCCTTAATTCACACCCGGGGTCCCCCCTAGAGCAGTACAAGGCTAGCTGTGCCTTCAGCTGGGATTTTTGCTTTTGCTTTCTGAAGCACCAATACCAGAGCCTTCCCGCTCAGCCCTTGGCAGTTCCTCCTTTCAAGGCCATTTCTGCTCTTTCCCCGATATTACTGCCAGCACCAAGTGAGTCAGGGGACCACTGCTCTATCCAGTTTCTGAAGAGGATGCCAGTGCTGCTAGTGACCGGTGTCCAGTCTAGGATCCTTTTTATCTGCACCCCTGAACAAAGCTTTAGTCACAAGGAAAATAAATGCAGCCATTTTACATGGAGATTCTCTGATCTCAGAGCAAAATTTGATTAATTAAGGACAGTCACCACATACATGTCCTAGGTGATACTTATGGGAATACAAGTAACAGAACTGGCTAAAGCATAGGGAATAGTGAGGGCAATTCACTTTTCACACGAATTGTCAGTGACTATAAAGGAGCTGACAGTCTCCTTGGCTGTGTGACCTACAGCCACTACCAAACCTGCCAAATATCTGTCTCCTGAAGACTCTGCAAAATAGTACCTCACACAGCAACAGAGATGTGAGCTTTCTCCTCTCTGGCTCCCTGTAACTCTTGGAGGCTCACCTCAGACTTTCATATTTAAGTAGCTTGATGTTAATCTTAAACTTCCAAAAGTTTTTTCCTGAATTAATGCAGCTGTGTAAAGTAAGGTTACTTCTCTTTGGGAAAATTGTTCTGCTCTCATATCACTGGATGAACTGGATGCTGAGGATGCTAATTGGGGTGTATTTGTGCAGAGGCAGCAGCTGTCAAGGGAAGACACTGTGATCTGTATTCCCCAACAGTGCTTAGAGGGACTCTTCAATTCTTTTATGAAGTGAAATGAAGCAGCAAGGCTGAACAAATGAAATCTTCTAACAACTGGCTTCACTTCAGTCAGGATGAAGATCTAACGCTTTGGATGCCATTCATATTTCCTGTCCAAAAAGATTTCTTTTTTTCCTTGAGGAGGAGTTTGAGTAAGCCCATCTGGAAGCCAGCTTTACAGGCTCCCAGAGCAGCAAGCAATACTGGCAAAGACTATGATTAATTCTTTTTTTTTTTCCTTTAATCATGTCATAGTCCTATTCCATAGAACATCAAATTATTTTGGTTCCACACCAGCATATTTATACCATGGAAAGAAGCAAACAGGTGACACCCACTTCTGCAGAACACAACTGCAGCTCTCTAAGCATTTCCTCTGAGTATTCTTTGTAAGTGAAATGAGTCAGCGAAGTGGGAGAGCATTGCTGTGTTCATAGCTTGCATGCTCCCCTCAGCAGGGGCGTGTGGTGAGTGATAGGAACTGGTTAACTTTGCGTGATGGTGAGAGGAATGAAATAATTTCTCATGCTAAGGCTGGTTGTACAAGCTGAGGTTTCCACCCTCTCTGAGGAGATGATGTTTTTCTCTGCCATGCACTGGGTGCAGCTGTCAGCTCCTGGCAGCTGCAGGAAGGCTCTTGCCATAATCCTCTGCCGATTCCACTAAACATAAGCTAACGTGCAATGTATAGCATCTGTATTAAGTTCTCAAGTAGGATTTGCCACAAAAGCTATGTTAATTCATCTTAGTGTGACTTGCGTGCAGTTTGGGCTGGATGACTCTGTGGGAGAAGCCAGACTCTTGTTGTAAGTGGTGGATTAGGACCTCTGCTGCTCACATTCACCTGCCTTTTCAAGTCACTTCTAAAATGCCACTTATTCAGAGCTCCTTGTTAACTAAAACTTTGGCAGCTTGAATCTAGAGTTTTCCTCTGTCAGCAGATGACTTTACTGGCTCCAGGTCTTTTGAAATTCCTGGACAAACACAATTTAGTAACCATACTGCCAGACTGATCAGTCCCAAAGCATAAATTACAAGCAGCTGAAGCTCAGGTTAGGGATGTAAATATGACTGACTTCCAACCATATATTCCAACTCACTGATCTGTTAATTTCAAATAATTAATTAAATTCACTGATGATGTGATAGGTAGTCTGAAAAAAACACCTTGAAGGATGAAGATGGTGTTGCAGACTTCAGTCAGCATGTCCACATTGCATCTTTTATGCAGTGCAAAACAAACACCAGGAACAACTGAATTTTATACTCTTGTGTTTGTTTCATATAGCTCTGTGTGCAGTATAAGAAAATAGATCTAAATTAGGATGGATCTTCCAAAGTTGAAATCTGATACTTGTCTGAGCTAAAAGCTGCCCTTCAGTGAATTTTCACAGGAATACCAGACAGACCTCTCCATTACAGAGTAATGCATTAGTACAAAGCACAAATCTTAAAAACAACCCCAAAACCCTAAAACTTTGTTTGAAACACAGTTAGTGACTTCTCAGTACTAGGAAAGTGAAACAGAAACAAAATTGAAGAACCTTTTCTGTACACATTGATCCTTGGACTGGGGTGGAAATATTTTTTAAAACTCTTTTGGGTAGGGTGAAAGGCTGTAAGAGATCAGACCTTCTGGCCAAAGGAAAGGAGGATTTTTGTGCTTGTGTAATATCAGCCTTTTACCAAAATTAGAGAGCGGAGCAGAGAATTGCTTCCATTTTAAGTAGTAGGGAGTTTCTTTCAAGTAAGAGCATGAAAGTTCTGAATAGAAAATTTCTAGTTGCTGGCTCTTTGGAAATCTCTTTTCATGGAGATCTGGGATCAAATTCTTTTCTAAGGTCTCTTGGCACCATACCAATAAAACAGTGCCAGTGTAATTGAGGGAGCCCTGGCTCCTGCTGTATTATCTAAGTGTAGCTTGACCTTTCTATTTTACCCATACTGTGACCGTCTCACATGCATGTCAGCGTGAGGAATAATGTCCTTGAAGATTGCTTTGAAGAAAGGTGCCCACTGTAGTAGCAGGCAGAAGAAGATTGATTCCTTCCTTCTAATCTATGCAAACCAAGACTCTGTCTCACCCAGAGTGCTCTCAGGAAATCTGCTCGTGTTTAACCCGCTGTAATTTACAGCCTGTCAGGCACCAACTCACTGCCTTTTCCAACTGTGTGTTGAGCTTCCTCTGCTCCCCTTAAATCAGAGGATTATTACTGGGGGTCACCTCCAGAAACCAGTCTGTTGAGGCATCAGACTTTCCTTGTAGCTTCAGAATGTGTCTCTGTGCTTGGCTGAGACAGTTCTTTGGTAAGGGCTTTGCAGGTAATTCAGTGTAAGTTTGCATTTTACTGAAAGACAAGGATTTTCTGCTTTGGGAAAACAAATCCATTTCTTGATGCAGAATGCCAGTGCTTCTGCCCTTCTTATAACACAGTTTCTAGAAGGTAAATCTTTTAAAAGGGACCTTTTAGTCTCTCTGAAGATTCCACTCCTGTAGGGGTCTTGCCTTCATCTGTAGATTTAATGGCTTAATAAGCATTAGACCCTCCTATTATGCAGTAACAAATAGGAATACAATACTTTTATCAATATTTGGCACAATTAATTTTTTTTTATGTGAAACTAAATATTGATGCTGTCAAGTGACTGCAGCTCAGGGACATAAATTACAAATATTCTTCTCCTATGAGCCTTGCTCAAATTTTGCATTCATATACAGTAACCATCTAATGTCTTTCTATTCCTGTAAGCCATATGATTTGATTGCCAGATTACATGGTTCTGTATTGTGCTTTGATGTCAGTGTTTTTATTGTTATTACCAATAATATCTTTTATTCTTACTGTAAGTGGTAACAAAAAGTTAACTGCTTCCTTACACTATAAAAAGAATAAAGTCCCATTTACAGAATGTCTCTAAACAGAAAATATCTCTGGAAAAAAAAGATATACGAATAAATAATTCACAGCATCATGGGTGAGTAGAAAAAAAGGTTTTTGATGTATTTTGCTACTCAAAACAAAACCAGACTTTTAAAATAAAGTAACTGGCTATTTTAGTGGAGAACAAAAGCTCTTTTAAAGAATAATGATTGCAGGGGAGTCAGTTCTCTCTGCATTTTTACCCATTCTGCACTTTTGTTGGTAACAGGACTTGTGAAATTGATTAATCCATCCCCTTGGGTTTCCCAATTCTTTTGTTCCATCCTCCTGTTTTTGCATGAGTTTATTTCTTGGCTTATTTCCTAAAGAAAATGTCAACCCACCCACCCACCCGCCCACCCAAGAGAAACCATAACATTTCAAGGATTTCAAGGTGCGGCAAAGCGAATTAGCCTGTCTGTAATATAAACAGACAGCAAATAAATTCTTAAAGGCCTTGGAATTAAAGTCTCCCATCTTAAACTCCCCCATACTTTCAGTTCATTATGCTCCGGATTTCCACAGAAGTGGAATAAGCATACAATGAAAAGTTATGCCGAAAGCATCCCTGGGAAGGTCAGCACGGGCATTTCCCTGTTTTCTCGTGGAAGCGGAGGAGCTCCATCAGCTCAACACTGAACATGGAGCGGCCGCTCCTTGCTGGGCGGCGACAAAACCCCCGGCGCGGCTCGGGAGGTCTCACACCGGCTCGGGGCAAAGAGCAGGGCCAGGGCTGCAGGGCGGGGCTGTCACACAAACGGTATCAAAGCACTGCATCAGATTTTTACATTAGTTTTAGCACGGTAAGGAGCCGATCCCGAGCCGAACTCAGGTAAAGCGAGGGCCGGCCAGGCGCCGGGTCGCCATCCCGGTGTGGGGGTGCCGGCTGGGCACACGGTGCGGCCGCCGGGCAGCCGAGCCAGCCAGGGTCGGTGAGAACCACCTGGGGCGCCGCGATTAGCGCCAGGCACGGCCCAGCACGGCACTGCTGTGCACAGACAGCATCCCTCACACCCCTCAGCCCGCTCACACAGCGCTCCGCCCGCCCTGAGGCGCCGCCGGGGCGGGGCGGGCCCTGCGCTGCCCGCCCTCCGCTCCCTCGGCGGCTGCGCGCCCTGGGCGGCCGGCCCTGAGCCCGGAGCATGGCCGGGGAGGCGGCGGGCCCGCCGGTGAAGGTGCTGTCGGCCCAGCTGCGGCGGGCGGAGCGGGGCGCGGGCGGGACGTGGCTGCTGTGGCGGGCGGGCCGGGCTCCGCTGGCTCTGCGGGCCGTGTGGATGCAGGGCACGGTGCTGGAGGTGCAGCGCGGCGCCCGCGGCGGCTCGGCCCGGCTGCGGGACGGCACCGGCGCCTTCACCGTGCTGGGCGTGGAGCAGGTGCCGCAGGGCCGGCCGTGCCTCAGCGCAGGTACCGGGGGCGGCGGGACCCCCCCCAGCCCGAGCGGCGCTTTCCCTGCCCGGGCCTGCGCCAGCCGAGCCCGGCACACCCCGCTCGGGAGCCCAGGAAAAAGAGAGGAATTCCTCCCCCTCCGTGTTTCCTCCTTCTGCCCCTCACGAGTAGCGTCAGTTCCACTGGAGAAGTGTTGGGACTGCAGCGCTGCAGGAGTTGAGGCACAAAACAGGCACTTGGCTTAAATTTTCAGTCTTCTCAATTGCCCTCCGCCCACTTGTGCACTAGAGGGACAAACTGAGTGCTTGTTTGGCACCTGTTGTACATGAAAATCCAGTCAAATCTGCTGTAAAAGTGACTGTACAGATAATGAAGCCTTTTTCCTGATACTCAGTTCTAGGCAGTCTTGAGTTTTCTTGCAAGTATCAGCAGCTTCAATTCACAGTGTTTAATTGTCTTAAAATAATTTGTGTTATGAATTAAAATGAAAATTGAAAGGTTAATTAAATTTCGCTCTTGCTTGTTTTTTAGGGAAGTATGTAATGGTGATGGGTGTGGTGCGGTCCTGCAGTCCTGAGCCTGTTCTTCGAGCAATAAAGATGACAGATCTCTCTGAAAACCCTGTACATAAGGATATGTGGAGCCTTGAAGTGGAAGATTTGCAGAGAGTCATTCCCTAGATACTGTTTCTTCTGCCTGAAATAACTGGAAATGTACTTTCTTGGTGCAGAACATCAGACTATTCTGTGTGTTTGTGGTTTCAACCAACCACCAGTTACTCTTGGAGTAAACCAAAGTGAGAAGTCGGACTCAGAGTCAAGTGTAGGGATCAGTGCTTATCTGATAATAACTGCAATGTTCATGTCTTCCACCATCCCTTTTTACAACAGCAGATTGGAGAAACACCTGTTTGATGTTTTGAGTAAGATGTCCATGCTGTTGGGAATGCTCCATGTTTTTGTGTTAGTTGTTTCTAGGAGCATGTGTTAAGGGAGTCATTCCTGAAGCAGGGTGGGTGTTCTTGGCAACAAGGGCTGCACAGAATTTATGTTACCAGGGTGAACTCAATACCTGGAACAAAGGCAAAATGTGTTTCAGTCTATTTAGGTTGTGGTTGGAAATAACACCTTTGCCTGTATTCTCTCTTTCAGTAATGACCACGTCAGTAAACTCCACTTGTAAGACAGATGTCTCTTGGTAACCATAAAGCAGAGTCTTGTACTTAAAAACCTCTCTGGTTTCTGAAATATTGAAAGTGGTACAGTAATGACCCCTGTGTTCCAGTGAAATGAAATAAACTGAAAAGGCATGATGCAGGATTCCCTGGGATATGTTCTCCAAGATGCAAATACTTCTACCACCTTATGAAACAAGCTTTCTACCCCTAAGTTTTTCTCTTTTTCTGCCCCTCTTTTTCTCTTTGAAGGTTTCTTGTTCCAATATATGCTATTTTTAGCTGTTTAAATCATTCTAAAGTATATTTTATTTTTATCTTTCTTTCTTCCTTCTGTGGGAGAACACAAAAGTATGACATCAAAAAGCCTTTAAAAAGAAGAAATGTTACTGCTATTTATTTTCCCTCTCGTCTAAAGAGAGCTTGAATCCTGAAGAATATATTGCATTATCTGTGTGGAATAGCTTTGTGGTTTGGGACTGTGTTGTCCAGGAATATAGTTGTGTTAATTGGGAATGCATGTAGGAAGGGAAGGTGATTTTTTTTTATTGAACACTGTACAATTTAAGATGAGAATCAAGGGATAATAACTGAATTTTTTTAACTGTGAGGTTATGTTTTCAAAGCATGTGGAAATTAAATTGTGTCCTTTAAAGATTTGAGATCTTTGCAGATGAAGGACTGACTTTCAGAGTGCAGTTCCTAGCCTTGAGTTTGGTATTCCAAGCCAGACCACATCAGAGACAGTAGGATAATGGAAGTCCTGTGCTCTGAGGCCCTGCTCATGTAATACCAAAATACACAGAGATACAGAATTTTGATAGTCTGGATTTATTTACTATTTTTAATCCTGGAAAAAAACCCAAATCACTTGTGGAATGCTGCAGCCTTTCAGAAAGGATCCATGTGGTCAGCATGCTGACTGGCAACTGTTCTTACCTGAGGATAGTTTTCCATCTGAATGCTTCTTATGCCAGGAATCTGAAGTTTGTTCCAAACATGTTTACCTTGCCATGCTTTCTAACCAGGCAAAACCCTGGTAAAACCCTGGAAATAAACAGCTAAAGCCCTGGAAATGAACAGTTAAAACTGCTGCACCCTTGCTAGCATCACTGAATTTACAGCAGAATTAAACCATGCCTTGTCATCTGGCAGCGTTGCATATTTACGGAATGCGTTTGAAGAGTTGTACTGATGTAGGGTTGGATTGTCTTTAGGTAGGGCTGGATCGGATCTAGACATGAAAGGCATAACCTGAGGACAGCTCAGAGATAACCAGCAACGGCTGAGGGCAGTGGCTGTAGTTTAAAATGTTTATTGGGCGTGAAATGGCATCTTTATCTCCGGTGATAAGTTAAATACAGCTTGTAGGAGACCTGGTGTCTGCATCCAGCTCGATCTGTCAGACATCCAACTGCTGTCTGCAGTTAACATTTAGTTAAACTTCTGTTTATTGCTGACTGAGCTTTTCTGAATCTCTTCCTCTACGTGCTTTGTTTTACTTTGTTCTTGCAACTGTCACTTCAGGATTTTTTCAAAGGTGCTCTGTGTGCTTAGCTGGGGAGTGAAATGGCATTCAGTGACTGGGGAGAAGATGATGCATTTTTTTGAATGACTAGCTGCTATAAATACTCTTTAACTTCCAGAAATATTTCATACAATTTTGGCTTCATTAGAAAACACCTCCGTAAGGGTTCAGAGGAAGACTTGATTTCTACCGTGTTTTATACAGCAGCATCTGATGGGTGTGGCAATCCTAAAAAGTGCAGGGTTTTTTCCAGACTAGTGTGGGGATCATGTTTTAGTTAGAATTTGTATCACACTGGGGAGTCAAGTGGTCAGGAAGAGAGTGTGGCTGAAAGCAGCATCCACGAGGTAACAGAGGCCAGTGCTGGGTTTGTCTGTGAGCCATTCAAACCCAGCCAGTTCCAGCTCTGTAGATCAGGTTTATATTCTTATGAATAATCAATAAAAATGTACTCCAGCATAATATTAAGGAAGTCAAATGTTTATTAGCATTATCTCCTAGTTCAGAACCCCATTATTTCAATGTTTGCATGTTATGGAAAGGCATGGGAAGGATTTTGCAGTGTTAACATTCTGCTGAAGAATAGCTGCCTTCCAGGTACTGTGTGCAGAAAGGTAATGCATTTCTTTAATCATTAGACTTAAAATATAGAAGGTGATTTCACAGGTAAGACACTTTCACACAACAGTAGTTATAACACCTTAAGGCTACTTTATGGGCAGGATAGGTATCAGTCACCCTTTCCCAACACATCAACTGATTTCTGAGAAAGGGGTTCTAAGGGCACAAAGGGAGGAGGTAAAACTGGTACACAGATACCAAGAAGGGTATTTCTCATTTAACAGCATACACATTAGTAAGGGAAAAATCAACCAGCGTAAAAATGAGAAAATTGTTAAGTGCTTTCAATTATTTAACCATCTTATTTCTACTGTAGCTCTTGTGTGTTGAAGCACTTCCCTGGAAAAAAAAAAAAAAAAAAAAAAAAGATAACTTTGTCCAGAACCACTGAACAGCAGAGTTTCATTTCTGGAGAAAAAAGAAGTCATCATCTGTGCTGACTCAAAGCTGATAATGCTGCTTTCACAAAGTATTCCACTTGTACTAATCTGAGCTGGAAGACACCTTTTGTCAGCTTTTGTATTTGTGCTATGATTCAGGGCTTGTGGAGACACAATTTTGCCATTGAAGGGAGAATTCTTTTAAAGTAACTGATACTACTATGTTCAATTTCTTTTGGTTGATTGTAGTTTCTTGTCAGTATACTGAAATAATTCCTCTTGCCCTCAGGGGTTCTGGGTGGAAAGCTCTCCTGTTATTCTATATGTGCTTCATTATATTCATTGTCTAACTAATGCATTTGCTCTGCTATTGTTCTCCTACTTCTGCCTCTAGCTGGTCTACCTAAAATAAGTTTTCTGGTTTTGAGTGCTGAAAGGGTTCTTTCATCTCCAGGGCTGGTATGTGCCATTCAGAACTGGCTCAAGCTGAAATGAAGAAGAGATGAAATCCAGGTAAGTGGTTAGTAAGTACAAGTGACATATAATGCAGCCTGTTGTTACACCGAATTACAAGAAGTCTGTGAAGGGAAAAATAGCATCAAATACATTTATGACATCAGCAAGCTGTGGGAAAAGCACTCCAGCTTTTTGGATGCAGTTTTATCTTGGATACACTAAACTGAAAGAAAGATGTGGGATTCTGTCACGTTTGATACATTCACGTTTAGGAGGGAAAGAGCAGCATTATGTCTGAAGTCGATGGGCTCTGGCTACTTCAGCCATTCAGTGGAAGATCCTTGACAGGAGTGAATTTCTAGGGAGTGGTACAGAGGTGGTTACTCCAGACAGACACTTTGTTTGGTTCTTTGACCGTGGCTGGCTCTCGGTTACTGTGCGTGACTGGACTGGCCACGACAGACTCTTCACTGTGTCAAACCCAACTCTCCCTTAGTGGAGTTTGGTCTGTTACACTTCCTTCTCTTTAGTGTGTTTACATATTTAGAGACTTGGCTCATGGTAAGCCTCAGCCCTTCAGTTTTTTCTCCATGACTGTTCTCAACTGGTTCACAATTTAAGTAAAACATGGTGTCCAAAATGGGATACATAAGATGAATAAAGAATTGTTTCTTGTCTTAAATATGTTTATTCATGTATACATCCCCAGTGTACTTTGCTTGTTTAATAGCATGCTTTAATAGCATGTTATTGTTAACTGAGCTTGTAATCCACCTTCATTCCAATCCCTTTCTTCAGAAATGGGATAATGTAAACCAGCAGCACTAGCTGACTTCAACATTCAACTCCCAAGCCATTCTAAAACTCTATTTTCAACGGGATATTCAGACTCAGATTTAACAAAATTTGTATTTCATATTCATATGTAGAATTTTATATAAGAGATTGAAGTGGATGGGCTGTGGCGTGCTGGTGAGGGAACAGCAGGAAGGGGAGATAGCCAAGGAGCAAGAAGACTATTTCCAGGAGTAGACTGAGTTTTGCTCATGCCCACGGTCAGATTCATTAAATTCAGATCCATTTTATTTACCATGCATTCTTGAATGACAGACATGTAAGTACTAGAGCAATGCACTCAGAATATTCGGGGGAAAGAAATGAAACTCACCACTGCGGAGGGATTTCCACAGGGACAAAGTTCCGGTGGCACAGGTGAACAAAAGCTGCTGCTGAGCTGCAGGCTACGCCCAGGGCCGGGGACTCACAGGTGTCCTGTGTGCACATGGTGTAGAAGGGCTCGGGGTCCACCTTAACACAAAGGGATTGTTTAGGGGAGCAGGGGGCACCTGCAGGTGGACCCAAAGGTTTGATTTGGGTCTCCCTGCTCCCTGCCTCGTTAGGGCCATTCATAAACCTTTATTCCCCTCCTAACATTGAGGGGGTTGTTTCTATTTCCAAATTCTAGACCTGTATCCTAAAGAGTGGTGCAATCATGCCTCTGCTCTGCGGATGTCAAGGACCTCAATTTATATGTATGGTGATAATAACAGCTTTTTTTTTTTTCTGTCTGTGTTACTGTTCTGATTATTCTGAAGTTATCTGTGACTGAACTTCTACCTCCTTGCAAGGGTTATGTGTCCTCCTTTGAAGAATGACACGGGGTGATTCAGACAGTCCTTCATGGCTGAAGTTCTACTTACAACTTTGAAGCAGTTCCTAAGAAGTGAATGTGGTTCTTCAAAAAACACTTTGCAGATGTTTTGCTTGCCTTTAATTGGACATGGCTTCTCTTTCTTCGGTACAAGACTGCACTTGTTCACCTGGGAAAGCAGAATTACTGCAGTTGGGGGGCTTTGTTTTTTAATACATCAAGTTAGGATGAATTCTTCAGATTTCCAGTGTGAGCTGGTTTAAAGGAAGATATGGGCAGCTCAGTATGCTGCTCTAACATTTATTGTTCAATAATACTGAGAGATAACTAATATTACAGATTAGACATTGTTTCCTTTTTCTCTTGATTCTGTTGTGCACTGAGGGATTTGGGTGTGTAGCTGCTGCCACAGCAGGCAGTTGGCTAGTTCTCTTATTATATAGATCTGACAGGTCAAAGATGTGCTTTTACTAGATCTTTTAATGCAGAAAAAAAAAATCTTCCTCTCCTTGCTGGGTTATTCAAAGGTAAAGAAGTCTTAAAAAAACCCCTCAAAACCAAATCAAACAAAAAGTCCCAAATGAACAAAAAAGTAACACAAACAAGAAAACCCCAAACCAACCAAAGAGTTTTTAAGTAAGTTTAAATTCTAGTGATTTTAAGAAAAATGAACTGGCAGTTTAATCTGTGATAACCCTCATCCTGCAGGAGCCAGACCTTGCAGGCTCCTGCTGTGCCTCCTGCTGTTGTGCAGCCCTGGCCTCACGACACTGGAAATTTGCTGGAAGGAAGGTCAGTCTCCAGGGAGCGAGTTGTCAGTTGGAGTTCACAGTTCAGGGTGAGGTGACTCCAGCAGTGCTTTTATTTCAGGCTTCAATACCTGGCCAGATTTAACCTGACTTTGCTTTCACTTTCTGTATCACAAATTGCTGAGCTAAAACTTTTGGTCAGGAAGGATTTTTTTCAAGCTCCATTTGACCAGCACAGCTGAGTACACTACAGCCTATTGGGACTGGGTTATTTCCACCCTATCATCTCTTCCTATCTTGAGAAAACTTCCTAAGACTTTGCAGGAAGCCCTTGAGCTCGTTACCTGCCAGCTCTGTGTGAACTCTTGCACATTGTCAGTGAAGGAACCATTAGGAAGCATCCATTCATTTCCAGCTTCATTGTCATTGGTACCGAAAAGCCCAGCTGAGATACCTGGGATGAAATTGAAATGGGGTAAAATATTAGTTGTCAGGAGTAGATGCAGGAAAGTTACAGAAGCTGTCTCTGAGCTCCAGTTATTCTGTACAGCAGCACTCAGCTCTAACATGGAAAAGAGAAGGTATGGCCAGATAGCCATTCTGGGTTTTTCCCAGCCTGCATTGCCATCTCCTGTCCTAGCTGGTCATGTGTTTCTCCTGACCACATCAAGGCATCAGATCCATCCTCTGCTAATCTTGGGAGTGCAAGTTTTAGAATAGTGTGGGGCACATGGATAGGAATGCATTCCACATATACCAAAAATCCCGTAAGGTTTTAGGCCTCCCTCTGTAGTTGTCTTGCAGATCTGACAAGCTAAGCCATCTCTAAAGCAGTGATTCTCATCCAGGGTTTGGGGCTGGGTGACTGCATTGCATCTGTCTGCTTTATTACACTGAATCATCAGTAACTCATAACCACTCACTGTTTTCCCTGGAATGATCCATGCTCTATTTAGCAATTACAAGGAATGCCTAGGGCCATTTCCAGGGTGTGCATGAATGAAGAGGGGAAAAACAAGTGAAAGACAATGCAGATTCTAGTACTACAGGGGGTAATAATTTAGAGAGATTAATTAGTCATTAAAAAAATGACTAACAGCTGACAAAAGGCTGATTGGTACTCACCGTGGTGCCACCCAGCTAGAGTAACAGTACAGAGATCATACTGAAAGTCACAGGATAGAGAAACTCCTTTCTGATTAGATACTTCTATTTTGTTGGTTTCTCTCCTTGAATTAGTAGTATTCTTTTCTAGTGATTTATCCAGTACTTGGCAGTTCTCTTCCATAAAGGAGAACATCTTGGAGATCTGTTTTAAAATGAAAATGCAGTTTCAAATCTGTCACTGTTAAAGTTCAGTAACGGGCAAGCTCAGGGGGGGCCAACTTAGCCCAGAATCAGGGAATAAGAAGGGGTTGTGTTAAACTTCCAGAAGAGCAGACAGCACAAAGCCTCCTGGGTGCCTCGAGGCTCCAGGCCCAGTTTGATCTCCAGACCTCTCTGACATGATCTAAGAGAAAAGCTGAAAATTTCCTTTAGTATGCAGAAAGCAAAGAGGCAGCCCTTGCATTAAACTGGCTTTGTTTTGGACAGGTATTTTCTGATTAAGAAGTGGTTAATTTAAAGCACTTGTCTGAGAGCTGTTCTCATCTATGTTACAGGCACTAATATTTGGAAAGCTTTTTTTGTTGTTGCTGGTTTAAGATAATTTCTGCTCTGAAAATGAAGAATTTTTGACTTGCTCCTCCTACCTTCAGTCTTGGGTGGATACTGATCACAGTCTGGTTCATCTCCACATACAGTGATCTTGAGTTCCTGGTTTCCTCACTCAGTATAACAGTGAAAGTATTGTGAACAAAATCCTTGGCGAGAAGAACACTGCACTTTGATGCTAAATCATAAATTTTTCCATCAAAAGTCACAAGATGCTTGGTCCCCACTAACAGAGCGTGATCTAGAGATTTCAGAAGAAACATCAGTGAGTTTCCCACAAAGCAGTAAGTGCTGTGCATACTGCAACACACATGCCAGCTTTTGGCTGGCATGCTCTTAAAATAATTTCTCGAGTTATTATTACATGGACATTACTACATTTACATTTTAGTTAGTTACACTGTAGTTAGTCTGCAACAAAAATTTTACCAGAAACAAAGCAATTTAATGATTTATTTTTCATTATAGATCTACCTGGTGTCCTGAAACCTTGAGAAGCATGAACTGGGATTCAAAGCTCATTTGGGTTTATTGCCATGCTACTTGTAAACTTGCTTTTTGTAAGCACACACATATACCCTGCAGTTCATACATTCTTATGCAGAAACCAGCATGAATATTAACTGTCTCCAGAAACTGCCCTTCCAAACCAGAGCATCAAACAGAGCTGCAGTCCCTGCTGATACATCACTTAGATTATTTGGTCACTAGGACCAACTTTCACAGCCCTCTTTGTGCCTGTCAGTCTAGTGGGAGGAAACCATTAAAAACGGCTCTTTCTGGAAAAAACATTCTGTCTAAAGGACAGCTGGGACTGTTAATGCAGTTTTTTAACATTTAGCAAGGCTTTTACTGGCAATGCTGTCTCTGAAGTTTTGAGTAGGGCTAAACTTTTCCATCCCGGAGTCAGAGGTGAGATGACCAGTTTCAAAGCCTCCATGCCAGGACACAGCCGGGGGTATGACTGGCATTGAGCCATAGTATCAACTCACAAGGGCATGTGGATAAGACAGATAAACAGCACCTGCTGATTTCTAGTTTCAAGAGTATGAAGTGTAAAGGGTTGGAAAATTTGCCTGACTATTAAGCAGAGGAGTGTTACTGCATGTCAGCTTTGCCCAGAGTGTTGATATTATAAATACCAGTAGTGTCTTACAGGAAAGACTATATGAAGTTGATAGGAAAACTATTAATTAGCAACCATCCATAGTAAAGTACTATTCCAAATATGATTTTTCAAATATAGCACCAAGTGGAGACAGACCCAGCTACAAAACAAAGCAGCACTTTGAAAGGGCTTACATTCGAAGGGACTCTCCACCATCCTCCGTTTGAACCTGTAATACTCTGCAAGGATGTTGATTTTGTAGAGGTCTTGCAGAGGCCTCATTAGTTTCTCTCCAATGAGATAAGTAGGAACATTTGCTAGCTGTAGGGAGTGGTCTCCTTTGGGCAGTACTGGCAGCTTTACGGCCACGGAGCAGTTCCTGTGGAATGCAAACAAAACAGCAGGAGCCCTTATCTGCTCAACTGATGACATGCTGTTGCTTTATTATAAGAAATGTGGAAGTGAAAAATTCATAAGAACTGTAGTCTGGTTAGAACAGCCCCACACTGGCCAACAGCTGCACTGCCCAAGGCCATAACAGGCCAGTTAATCAGTTATTACTGTTGTGTTTGCTGCTCAGTAGCTCCTGTTGAAAGGCAGTCAGGCCTGACAGCCAACAGAAGTGAACATTAGTGTGTCTTGTGCCCAAAGCAAGGAGTGGTTGGGTGTCTGTCCAGAACCCTCAGCCTACAAACTGATAGGAAGACTAACTATACACATATCCATTTAGAGCAGCCCCAGCAGCAGGGATCCTGCAGGAACACCAGTTACCTGGCTGAAAAGCTGTACAGGTTGAGCAAGGGCTTCCGGATCTTGCTCACAGCTCTGGAAAATGTGGCCTCTGCCCACCTGAACATCTGCTGTGTGGTCTGTTGGAGAGTCAGAAGAGGAGATTACAAAACCGACTTCAGTATGGCTTCAGGGCAGGGTCAGTACTTGCTAAGGAGTTTTAAATCAACAGTCAGTGAAATAGCACTTTAGTCTCTCACATTTGTCACTTGCCTTGCAGCATCTTGTCATTTAAAGGTTAATATCCAGAGGGCAGGCTCTACTCACAACAGCAACAAATAATGGACAGAAATATATTCTTCCTACATAGGCCTTACTTAAAGTATACCAATACTTCACTGAGTTAATGCACTTCAGTATCTTGCAAAGGATTGGTATCTTTGTTAATATAAATTGGCATGATATATTTTATGCTGTTCATTTCAACCGGAAGAGCCCAAATCTGTACATTGTTTGCTGGAATCACAATTCATCCTCTATGAAGAAAAGTAAAAGCTACGTGAATGACAGATGACTGCTGCTGTGCTTTCAACCAGAACTAGTAAAACCACCTCTCCTCTAGCTGGAAAAGTACTGCTTTCAAACCAGGACAAATACTGCAAGAACAGTAAGTTAGCTGTGCACTGTTTCCATAAACAAAATACTTAACCATTTTTGTGTATCCGCAGCTCAAAACTGAGACTTAAAATGTGTAGGCCTTGACTTACAAACCATTAAAAATGAAGAACTGAGTTATACCAACCATATCCAAGGCTGCTTTCACAACCTTTAATGCCAGCTGGATTGGCTCCATTAGCCACGCATCTTTTACAATATTGGGTAAAAAAGCCTGGATTTTCTTCATGTACTCTTCTGTCTTCTCTTTCCAGACCTCATCCAGTGGCTTCAAGGTCACATCATAGTAGGCATCCTTCAAAGTTGCTAGTGGCTCTGAAGCAAACACATTAATGGAACAAACCTTAGCTGGTGTGGTGCAAAGTGGCTTTGTTTGCTTGATTGTCTGCTTGTTTGTCTGCTTGTTTCCTCACAGCTTCCAGGGTAAGGGAAGGGGGGACACACAAAACAGGAAGAGGTGGCGCTTTTTTTCACGGCAATTTGGGCACATTGCACAGCTGTCTGTGTGGACACAGTGTTAGGAGAAACTGAAAGAGGCATTTAGCTCTAACCTTGAGCCCCTTATGCACTTTTGGACACTGCCACTGTCCAAAAGACATGTGAGGAATGCTTTGCAATATGCCACCATCAGAGTGTACTGCACAAACTGCATCTGATTAGTAACAGGACAGGTTGGTCACAGCTGATTTCGAACATGGTATGTCAACTAAACCCAGCTTTTGAGTGAGAAGAGCCTAGAGGTAAGTGGCCCAAAGTGAGGTTTTACTGTTGTGAGAACTGAAGGTTCTCACAGCTAATTACAGCTGAAATTCAGAAGTTTCAGGATGGGCCACAGTCCAGCTCAGCAGTGAATTAGAGACTACTGGATAGGCTTGGAAAAAACAGATCAAGTGAAATCCGATTAGTACAAGCATTCAAAACTCAAGGATGGATATGAACAGCCCTTTGGGAGGACAGGCTTGCCAGGGAACTGTTAGCAGAAATACTTCAGCTTAGGAATTAGGGCTCTGTTCTCATCCGACTGAACTCAGCCTCCTGCAACCCAGAGAGTGTCTCATCACTGATTTCATTAGAAAGGTGCTCACAGAGAGCTTACTTAGGGCTTATTGCATCAACTCTCCCACTCTGTACCCCAAGAGCCAAGGTCAGCACTTTTCACTGGATCAAAATAGAAACCTTTATACTGTCAGCATATTTTATAGTTTATAGTCAAGTCTGGTTTGCCCTGCACTGACATTGTCCTTATTCTCCTCACTTTGCACAGTTTGGCTTACTTTGCAATTCATTCTGCATTTGCTGGACAACACCTTGAACTTTATCCAGGTAAAGCGGGACCTTGTTCCTCAGGATGTGCCCGATTCCGCTTTGCTTCCACGCCTGGCCGACAGCTCTGCCCCCGCTGTGCAGGAATCCTGCTGCCTTCTGCAAGGCTATGGAAGGCCAGCCAGCTGCTTCAGACAGGAAACCAACTTGCTGCACCTACAGTGGTTCCCAAAAAACGAGCAATGTCAAAATACACACTGATCTCACGCAAAGCTTTGATTCCATCGTGAGGCAGTTCTGACTGCTCGGTGTTGGCGCAGAGATACAAGATCTCCACGTGAAACACGCTTTTTGTCTGAGTTACAGGTCAGCACAGGAGTAATCATTTAAATGTTTGAGCAAAACAAAACAACTGCAAGCGATGTAATGATTTTAATTAACACTGCATGAAAACCTCATGGTGTTTTCACAGATATGTACAGATACTTACTGATCTCCTGAATCTCCACATGTATCCATCAAACTTCTTTATCTTTTCCATCAGTTTGGCTTTCAAAAGACTCCAAATTTCAATAAGCTTGTGCTGTGAGAAGATTAATAAAAACCTTGAATTTACAACTTAAAACTGCTTGTGCTGGGTCCAAATCACTCAAAGTTTGTACTAGTTTAAATTCCAGCAAATTTACACAGTGGCCTCCCATTTCTCAGGGGGAGTTGCTTCTGCCCTATTCAATGGATAGACATGGGAACAGAAGGTCTAAGGATGAAAATTCAAATAGCCTCCTCCAAGCAGAGACTATGTGAAACCCTATTAGAAGTAAAAGCACATTCAGGAATACTAATCTTGGTTTTGTAACCAACATACTGAGCAGTTACTGCTGCTCTCACTTTATTTACTTACCCTCCTCAGAGGACTCACCCTTCAGGAGAGGGTCCCGTATTTTCTTTCTCTGGGTATGGATGAACTTTTTAATTCTCACCATAACTTTTCACATCAACGTGAAATTAACGTTATTATGAGTTTAAAAATTACCTAAGTTTGCCTGGCTACTCATCAAAACTCACACCTGAATCCTACGTGGAAGCTGTTCAGCAAATTGATAAAATTAAACAATATTCTGGGAAAACCACACTGTAGTTAACAGCCACTCAAGAGTCTCACCTCAGCCTTAAGAACTGCATCCCCGCATCCATGAGCCAGAAAACTCAGGCTTCCATTAGCAGCTGCTAGAGTCACTTGTCCCGTGTTTTCCTGCCTTTCCCCATTGATGGTGAGATGGGTGTTAATGGCAGCCATCTCCTGCCCATCAGAACAAGCACTGACTTCCATTCCTTCTTCCAAATCCCCTTAGGGAAGGAAAAGACAGAGCTTCGTTTACAGGAACAACACTGACAGACATTGTTTCAAAGCCAGCTTTTAATTACTTACTTAGGTGATCAATCAATGCCTGAGTGTGTTAGGTGTTTGTGGGGAAAAAAAGAGAGATAAACAGGAGTCAATTAGATCAGTGTCAGTGTTTGATCTTTCTCTTCTGTGTGGCTTGTGAATGAGTTGCAAATACAGATTTGCTACGGCAAAGGAAACACTGGATTAATGTAAATATAAATATTTTGGTCACAATGATATTTTTCTACTTCAGTCTTCACTGTCTTGATGTTTCAAAACTGCTCAGCCTGTCAGGTTCACCCATCACACACCGAAATCGCTTCTACCCAAGCACGGATGAGCATAAACAGAAACAGTCGGCAAAGGCATGGAGGGTCTGGGTGGAGAGAGCTGAGTTGACCACTCTTAGGAACTCCTGCCTTCAGTGATCAACAAACTAATGGTTCTAACCTCGGATACATCACAGCACTTGCAAGTGAGGCCATGAACCTGTGAGAAATTCCCCTGCAGAAGTGTGGAAAGGCAAATCCATAACTGAAACAAAAATGTCCCCCAAGCTTGACCTTTGTGTAACAAGTTTTAAGTTTCAGGGGTTTTTTTATCTATCTGAAAGACATAACTTGAATCACCATGAACTGAGCTAGCTTGGCACTGGAGACCCAGTCTTTCATCCAGCCTCTTCACAGCAATGACAGCTGGGAATCACAGAATAGCTCCAGTTGGAAGGGACCCATAAGGATCATCAAGTTCAACTCCCTGCTCCTTGCAGGATTACCTAAAACTAAATCATATGCCTACAAGCATTGTCAGGGAAGGTACATACCTTTCAGATACCCCAGGTAGTACTGAATACACTCCTTTCCTTTTGAAGCAGCTACTTTTACTTTCTCTTTCGGATCAATAATCCCCTCCACCAGGATTTGGCTCTGGACAGATGAGGAAGTAGCAGTTCCTGTCAGGCCCAGCCAAATATCTTCAAAGGCTCTTAACTGCAGCCATAGAGGAAAAATATTTATTCAAAGCCACCACACAGAATTAAATGACTGTTCAGAGAAGATGCTCGAATACCAGTGCTTCCCACAAAACAGTGAGTGGTGAGGGAAGTGTTTTCCAAAGCTTGTGCACTGTGCAGGAGTTTCACTGAGAGAGGCACAAGCATCAGAGTCACTGGCTCAGGAGCTGAATGACTGGATAGCACAAGGCTCCTGGACAAAATTTTACTGGCAGCAATGTAAGCCCGATTACCTTCTAAAGAACATTTTGGATGGTGCTGAACACATTACTTTTCTGCCTCAGTCCCTTTCCACCACCAGCTTCTCCATCTTATTTATTTCACAGAAAATTAAAAGCAAATGCAAAGCAGAGGGTAAAAGGAAGATATTTCCCTCAGATGAGCATCATAGGAGCTTTTCTGTGCCTTTTTAGGGTCAATTTTTTTTTCTGGTAAATGATGCTTTTTGAAAGTACTGTAATTTTTTTGCCTCTTTTTTTTATTGATAAGGTGAAAAAAACATGCCTCACCAAACAGACCAGTCATGCTGAAGGTGAGCTATAAAACCACCCAGACTCTTAAAACTGATAAACTCCCTTGATATACATTTATTATATTTGGGGCTGAGCTCTGCAGATCACTAATGTTGGTGCCTTTCTCTCTAGATTACACCACATGGACATTGTGTAACTGTTCCTTTATAAACAGAACTAGAGAAACCAGGAGTATTTTAAGCTGCCCGCTGTTTTACAGTCACTGGCTGCACCTGATCCATTTGGGAGATAGATGGCAGCAGGCCTTTAAAAACCAAAACCCAGTGGCACTAAAATAAAATAAAAACTCACTTGAATTTCCATAGAATAGTTCTTCACATCAGCAGTGCTCTGATTCTTTATGGATACTCCAATCAACCCCTCATCTGTCCTGTGATCACCAAGGTGGAATCTGCCCTCTGACTGCAAAATGGTGTTATCTTTGTTGAGCTGGTGTTTTCCAGATAAAACAATTACCTAAGTATGCACAAAAAAAGGGTGCTAAAGCTTAATTTTTCCAAAAAAACGGGCTCTGCATAGAGTAGTAAGAAGTTGTACAATGGTAGCATTCTCATGGAATTACACAATGAAGAGATGAACAAAACTTGTCGTTTCAGAAACCAGCACATCCTCCTCCTCACAGCACTGTCTCACTTTGTTACATCTTCAGTTTCTGTTGTACAACAAAGCATGTTCAGTGATTGCAGCCTAAGACTATATGAACAGTTAGAAACTATATTTTGTTAAAACATCCTTTTTTTTTGCTCCTATACTTCTCAGCAACTCTGGCTAGACATTTTGATAAAGCTGGGGGTGTGTGGGAGGTTGGATATTGGATATGGTTTTGAGTGGGATAGAGTTAATTTCTCATCAGTAGCTGGTACAGTGCTGTGTTTTGGATTCAGAATGAGAACAATATCAATAGCAAAACCAAAACATCAGTAGGTTAAGTCCTGTTTATCCTAAGTCAAAGACTTTTTTTCTTCTTCTCCTTCTTCTTTTTTTCTTCCAGTGAGAAAGTGCACAAAAGAAATTGGGAGGGAGCACAGCTGGGAGAGGTGATCTGAAGTGACCAAAGGGATATTCCACACCACAGAACATCATGCCCAGTATATAAACTGTGGGAGTTACCTGGAAGGGGCAGATGTGGGTTTAAGAAGGGGGGGTCTGGCATCAGCAAGCAGGTGGTGAGCAATCACATTGTGTATCACCTGGTTGTTTTTATTTTTCCTTTCTCTTTTTATTATCATTGTTATTATTTACCATTATTATTGTATTTTACTTTCTTTTCAATTATTAAACAAACTGTTTTTATCTCGACCTACAAGCTTTAATTTGATTCTCCTCCCTGGTCTATGAGGCTGGTGGAGGGAGAGAGAGGGGTTGAGGGAGCAGCTGCTTGGTGCTTAATTTCCAACTGGGCTTAAGCCATGACGCCTTTGAAAAGGAGGATCCAAAAGAATACAGAGGCACCTGATTTTGAAGTGACACACATATACATTCTTTGCATTATAAACAGGCTCTATCACACCTTAGTCTTGGAAAAAGCTTTCACAGGCATCAAAATGTGGCTTCTATTTCCCATTGCTAACAGTGTCACCTGCTGGAAATGTTTTAGCACTGGGAATTGAAAACTTTTATGTAAATGAAGACATTTACTGCAAGTTCCAATTTTTGTGTTTGCTGTGAATATCTATAGGCAACCCTGAGGTCCAGTGTGCACCTAAGGAAGATCATGGATTGGTCTTCATTTTGTGTTTATTAGAAATAAAGGTCACATTAAGGTTCAAAAATCCATCACTACCAGCAGAGCAATCCTAAAAACCACTAAACATTTACCCACAGGGGAAGGAAAGCACTTTTATTCCTCTCTAGTTTCCTTTTCGATCACTTATGAGCCTGTTTTGATATTCTTCAGAAACATGAAATTAAAAGACCTTTGAAAGAGAATAGGAAAGAAAGAACATGGAGGAAGTGACAATCTTTACAACCACAACAGGGCCTACAGAATATGCTACAGTGCCAAACAGAACCTTTCTGCCTCAGCCCTCCAAAGACACTGTTTATTTATTTAGTTCATTAGAAGTATGAAGAGCTGCAGCTGAGGAAAAATGAGTCTCCAAAACACTAATTACATTTAAAGTGAAGTAGGTTCAGTATGTTTATCTAAGACTTACATTTGGAAGGTCACAGAACTCAAAACTTGCATAATGATCCAGGGAAGAGCAGTAGTTTGTTTCTATTTTACCCAGAATCTTCTGTTTGGTGCATGGGGTCAGGAAAATGTTTTCTAGAACAGCTTCTAACTGGAATTTATCAGGATACAAGAACTGATTCCTCTGCAATGAACCAAGAAAACAAAGTTAAAATATGACAACAGGATCTTAGACACTCCTGGGTGCCCACTCATCCTGTCCCTGTGCTGGCTTTTGTTATTCCAGTAGCTTCAGGATTTTAATGTAACATTTCCGAAACATAACATTGCCACTTGACAATGTTTTGGATCATCAGCCTTGTTTCTGGTTCCCATCCTTCAGAATTAAGTCAACAGTTTTGCAAATTTAGAGCACAAGTGAGGCCTCTAGTTTGTAAAAACTCTTTCTTTCTTTAATATGCTACATTTATCTTTCTTCCTATGTAGAGAAATATGTAAAAGGTAAAGTGAAATATTGATATTTCACAGAAAATGGCACTCTACAGAAGCTTTCTTAAAATGTATGCAACATTATGTCAAAAACTGAAATAATTTCTCATCTATTAAGAACAGCTTTCATAAAAATGGTGAGTTAACAGTTACAACTGCCTTCTCTTACCTCATATGTTAAATTGTGTTTGATTTTTTTGTCATCCCAGTTCAGATCTAGATATTCATTAAACAATGTTGATCTTTGCTCTAGAGACCCACATGCATGCAGGTGTTCCATACTTAATATTCTCTGAAGCTGGAAGAGAGGAAAAAATTGACACATATAATTAATTTTAAAAAATATATGTTCAGTATATCCTAGGGCAGTGCATTTCCTGGGCAAAAATACACCCCTGTGAGAACCCCTGAACTGTCTATAGCCATAAAATACTGCTTCAATCTCTGCCAGCAGACCTGAGGGGTTTGACAAGTCTGTCCTGAGGGAAAGCTGCAGCCTCAGTACAGCCATGTCTGGCAACTTGAAACAGAATCCTTCAGAGAGTTCATTTTTCTTCCTCTCAGACATGAAAAGGTTGGCTTCAAGTAAAAGGCTTTCATATGGTAACAAGTGCAGAAGAAAAAAAAAACCAAACCTCTCTCTTCTGAGAGTCTTAAGACTGGTACCTGGCCTGCAGAGAGTGTCACACAGCCCCCCCAGGCAGCGATGTCCACCTTGGATCGATCCTCCAGGGTCAGTCGGATGTCAGCGGGCTGCCCAGCATTCCCTGCCAGCTGCAGCTGAAACCAAAGAGAAGGGTTTGTCCAGCAGCAAGACCTGAACCAGCAGAAGAGCTGCAGGGTGATCCAGCAGAATTATCCCCATCCAGTGGAGAGAAACAGAACCACAGTGAAAACTGCAACAGGCTCTGTGGTCTGGAGACCAACACAGGGAAACTGCACTGCTGCAGCCCAGGACACGCAAGTATTTTGCTGCCGTCTCTGGAAGCTGCCTGGGGTCTGTCAAGCACAGCAAATAACGACACCACTGGAATAATGACCCTACAACAGAATTTATTCCTCTGAATATGATTCTTGAGACACAGTGCAAACCACCCGAGAGCACCAAAGGGCTCCAGATGAACAAACAACACTGCACAGTTGGCACAGCTTTTTATTGAGCAGAAAGTCTTCAGCCTCAGCAACTGGAGTGTCCTGATTCATGAAGTGCATTTTCAGACAGAAAATACAACTGCAGTCTCTAATCCTGAAGGATGATTTTTGGAGTTTGTCCTCCTCTTTTCCCCTATATATGCTTTGCAAGTGCACTCATAATTGTATTTTAAAGCCTTTCTAGTCTTGTATATTTTTTTTACACTTGTGTTGCAGTTTTCCATACAGTCCAAAAATTTATGTTTGCTCCACAGGGGTATCAAAGGGTTTCTGGTTACGTTGTGTTGTGGGGTTTTGTTGGATGGAAGGTTGTTTATTTGAGGGGTTTTGAGTGTGTGCACTAGGGATTCTTTCATTTCTTTGTGGAGAAAATTTGCCTCATTTTCACTGCTAGGCTGCCCCCTGTGCACTTCTGGCTTCCTACCATCCAACATGGGTCAATGCTAAAAGTGCAAGTCTGTCAATCAAAACCATCTATGCTTAGGAAAAGAAACAATGCTGGAGGTTTGCACACAAGGAGAAAGTAGCACTTGATTTTCTTCACATCTCAGGATGGTATCTGGTTCTGCCATCCTCAGAGATGAAAGGCACACTAACAGTAAATACAGCATCACAGGTGTGTATTTTGCAGCCCTTTCTCATGCTCTCACCTGCTGGTTGTACTTTCTGCCCCTTCTTTCTGACAGGGAATGGATCTCCAGTTGCTTCAGGGTGTAATTAAAGGGGTGGGCAACAGTGGCTCTGTAGTTTGTCCGGTGTCTTCCAAACTTCAGAGAAGATGACACTGATACCTGATCCACAGCAACACACGTAAAAGGAACTTGTGAAATCAAACACCTCTCACATACTGACCTCGAACACACACTCGGCAAGATTTCCCTGTACCTTTTCCTCAGATGAATTATCTGCCTAATAAACTCCTTTTTGAAGTAGTGAGGCAAATTAGTGTTCAGATGAGGACATTCCTGCTACTTGAGTTACATGGCACAGGTGAAAGTAAAACTATTCTCTGTGTTTTACTAAAACCATGAACAATGCTTGAATTTGTTGAGGCTTAATTTTGGTCTCATCTTTAGGCACTGCAGGCTGCACTGCCACAGAGTGCTTAGACACAGCTTGCACAGTCAAAGCTCAAGGAAAAACATTCTGTATGTTAATGTATTTTACACATTGTCTTCTATCTTTCCATTATTTAGAAAATAATGTAGTATTCAGCCAAGGTGCTGCATTTCAGATATACATATACAGATAGCACAGTCAGCAGCAAGTCAGTAAGTGTCCCCATTTAACCACACCCGGAAATCAACCTGCCCCAAGTTCTCCTGGTTCTGTCCTTTTCACTATTTATATGTTTTAAAAATAATGCTGACTTACTTTAAGAAGGCAAAGGCTGATTATACCTGTGCCATATTTGTCATTCTCGCTAATAAAGAGGAAAGTGAAAGAGTGAAATACAAAAAAGCTTCTACTACACCAGTAAAGCTGAAAACACCAAGTACAGGTATGTGTCACACTTGTGTGTGCACAAACACACTATTTTAGCCATGCAACAGGTTCTCCATCCTTTTCAGCCTCACACTAATGCTCACACTTGCTCATTTGTCTTAGGTTCTGTTTCTTTTCCCCTATGCTGCTTTAAAAGCATATCAGCAGCTCATCTTCCGTAGTCAGAGCCTTTTATATATCCAGGAAGGACGACAGTTTGCCTCCTGCTTGAATTCCCTGGCTTGCTTAATACCATTAAGAAAAAAAAAAAAAAGGAAAAAAGAAAAAAAGAACCATTTGATATTCCTGACATTTATTTGCTCTGGGCTGCTGTACCTGGTCCTTCTCATTCCAAATGACAGTAAGATCGTCCCGGTGATTACGTGCCGAGTGTTTCACATATAAGTTGACCCTGGCATGCCTTGGAAAAGGAATGGAGAGAGGATGGAAAAGTTCCACTGCAAGGAAAAAGAGCAAACAAGTAAGATTTCCCCCACCACAAATCACGACTCCTCATTTTCTGATAAAGAAAAAGGCATAGGACCTATTCTCTCGCTGGCAGCAGGGCAATATTTGGTTCCCAGAGCAGCAATGTCTTTGCTCATACACACACAGTACCTTCCCCAACAGCCAAAATGACTGCAGTGTGCTGATTTCTGCTCAATATGAGGACATGCAAGTGAAAACAGGAGCCCCCTATCTACCAGCTAAACAGCAGTTACCTGCAATAATCACCAGATTGATAGCTACACCCAAAGCAGCAAGAACAGCCAGGAAAATAATCTGTTTGAAGCTGAGAACGCCTTACACTGGCAGAGGAACATCTCAAATAAGTAAACGCAGTTATTTTCTCTATTTTCAGATAACAAAGCCTCAAAACAGGGAATTAACACCTCAAAGTAGTGGCCAGTGTGACCAGTGCTCCCTTCAGTACCCAATGCAGTAGAACAACAGAGTCTACTACAGTTTAAAAAAGTTTATTTAAGTTTTATGCTCCATATCCACAAAGTAGAAACAGTATTCTGAAGTGCAGGTTTCTAACAGCCAGATTATAATGAATTTAAAGCATGTAAGATCTTAGAAGGCCTGACTGGAACCAGGATTGAAACCATTTGGATATGCATTTTGAAATCAGATTTATGTAGTTTATTTTATTTTATAGTTTGCTATCAACACTACCAAAAGACTTAAGAAACCTACCCTGAATGTCATGACCTCCAGGCAGCTTTGGGAAGAGTCCAGTGTAAGTGCCTGTTACCTTTATCTCTTTGCCATCCCACAGAGCAATGTGCCTCAGCATTCGTGTCCTGTTGCCCCTTTGGTAAACAGTCATAAACACAAGCTGCCTTGGAAGAATTTTTAGCTAAAAATGAAAGAGAGGAAACATTAAATCCCAATTTCTCTGAGAAGTTAAAAATCTAAGTGTAATTTTGGTACCATAAAGTCTTGTAGGGTCTAATTTTAGGAATGTGTTTTTTAAAGGTGTAGTGCAATGATACTCTAAGCCCATTGTTATTCATTTCTACTTGTCTTCATTTCCACAGTAAGTCATCTTTTCACACAGTGGAACTGAGTGTCCCCTTTACAATAGTCTTTGCTTAATATACAATTTGATTTTCTCTTTCATCTCACAATATAATTCTTACAACACCCAGAGTCCCACTCTACAGAATAAATCCAGAAGATAACACAAACAACAGTATCTACTTGTGACATCTTTTCTTCCTTATTTAGAAAAAGAAATGTGTGGTAGCTGCATAAGAAAAATTGGCAATGGGTCAGTTTGTAACATATAATTCTTCGGATTTCCTATAAATCCTATATATGTGCTCCATCCCTGGGAGCAAACAAATATAAAATCAAGCAGCAGGTTATACCACTGGACACACAACTAATCTGCAGTCAAATGTTTGCTCGAGCTACTGGAGAAATCAAGGGCTAAACAACTCACACAGCAGGAGATGTGTTTGACAACCACACCCTGAATATTCCCCTCTGAAATGGGGCAGTCACAGCCTGGTTTTCCCCTCAGAGCCAGTGATACCAACCTGGGACATGGTCTGTGCTATTTCAAGGGCATTAGTGTAGCTGGTTCCACTCAAAGTGAGCTTCGCTGTAACATTGAAATCCCTTTTTTCCATCCTGAGGCAGAGTTTGCCTTTTGCTTCAGTCATGTCATAATTTACCTTTTCAGTTCCCCATTAAATTAAAAAAAAAAAAAAAAAGAAAGGAAAAGGAAAAAAAGGAAGACTGGGATTGTTAGCATCTCTGAAAACATGAACATCCTCGACAACAACAAAAGTGTCAGAGTTACTAGTGCTAGACATAATGCAGCTTGACTCCTAAAACATTAGACAACTCTAATTTGCAGTGATGTATGTGACAGATAACTTGCAGATAGTTACCTTAGAAGACAGTTCTGCTGCACTGGGGAAGTACTGTAGAAAGAAGGGATGAGTCTGGAGTGCTTTTATATTCAACTCTTCACTAAAGGGAAGAAATGTACTTTTGTTCAACAATATTTCAGAAAGTACACTCTCACTGGCAGCACAAGTTCATCTGAGTTACTCCAAGTCTGCCACAGGTTTCAGAGTTACAAGTGGCAGTACCACTGAACACTCACCCAGCTCCCAGTTTTTGATGCATTCACACAAAGGTAGAGGAGACCAAAGAGCACCTTTGACCTCAGTGAAAAATCTGTGTGTGCATCCCAGGGACAGAACACAGCCCACTGAACCAGAAATTACTTTGCCATAGAAAATGCATCAGCTTTTTAAAAATTGGGTAAGTATTTTGGAATCTGACTTTGCAAACACTGTCATAGTTTACAAACTCAGAACTACTGGAGAGTTTAAAAGAACTTATAAGAAATTTTCAGTGCCAAGGTCTTTTGCTAGAAAATTAAGAAATATCTGAAATACCCCATGGCTGAAAATATTACACCTCTTAAACATCCTCAAAAGCCTACAGTTTTGTGCAGATACAGCCATACTGATTCCAGCTTAGAAAACCAAGTCTCCATAATTTTACAAGTTTCAGTGGTGCCAAAAAATTTAATAAGATTAAACAGTTATGTCAAGTTAAGGTATTTTTAAGTACTTATCTGGCTCAAACCTAGAGTTTTGTGGATTATTTCACTGTTTGCTGCTTCAATGCTGTGGGAGCAGGCAGAGACAGGCATACTCCAAACTGTGAGGAATCTGCAGCCCTTCATAAACTTCCTGAGGTGACCAGACTGTCTGGTGTGACTACTCACTGTGTCCAAGATTTGTTAGCCATTTCACCAGTGATTTGATGATTCAAACAGTAACTTTTTTCCACAGAATCACAGTGGCCTAATGACATTTCTACAGTGCTCAGAATGACTCTTTTACCCTTGCTGGTCCTTTTTCCTACTGATGGCAAAGGAGAAGTTTGTGTTTTGTTCATAGGTCACCCTCAGAGCTCCTGCAGTTTCATTTTCAGTCAGGACTTCCTGAATTATCATCTGTGGAGGGGGAAAATAAACAAATCACATGCCATAACCTCTACCTAACATTTCATCTCGACTGAGCATGACCTCTTGACTCACTTAAAACCATCATCTTGAGTGAAGTTTATCTCCCAGACAGGCCTTCTGGATGCTTGCTGAATGTAACCCAAAAACCTCAAGAGATGTTTTCCTTTTCTTCTGTATGTTTCCATAGCTACTCATTTGCATCAGTGATAAATATTAGCCTTACTTTCCACATACCCTTACCTGCTTTAAGTCTAAAGCTGCTGGTTCTTGTTTATGTCTCCCCCACTCTCCTTTTTCATATACTGTAAAGATTTTTTTTTTTTTTTTTTTTTTTTTAAGAAACAGGTTGAGTTCCACTAATCTTTTACCCTGCCCTGGGATATTTTCTTCCTCCCACAGCTCCTGGATCATCTACAGCTTTATCCTGAAAATGCTACAGGATCCCTCTGGGGAAGATCAGGACACTTAAATATCAACACATGCTTGCCAAAGTCTGTGGGAACAGTAATTTCTGATGTCCCATGATTACACTCATACCTCATACATGAATAAAGCACCTCAAGAATTACCATCTCTGCTCTTCTTTTTTTCACTGAAACATCAAAGGATAAAAGACACTTCACTAAACATTAAGGGGGAAGAAGTAAGGGATATATGTAATACTTTTCAGTTTTTATTCAACACTGAAGTACTTTATGTATTTGTGCTGTAAGTGGTTTAACCAAGCCAAGGAGTTCTCTGGACATGAAGGACAGCTGTTTTCTATCAAGAGTCCTTCTTACTTTAGTAAGCTTATCAGCTAGGAGGTAACAATAAATGTGTGCCTTCCTGAAATGATGAACCTTGACACTGGGAATTTCCAGTTTCCTTGGAAACAGACCACTAGCTCTGTACTTAAGTTAAAGGAGGATTCAGATAAACTGAGCAAGTCACTTCTCATCTGCACTTATACAGACCTGGAGTAATTTCATTGAGGTCACTGGAAGTCGTCTGGGTTCATGTAAGTGTAACTCAAATGACAGCTCGAATCAAAGCACAGCAAAAGATCTATGGTGTGATACCTTAAGAAAGAAGGGAAGTCCCAGTTGATGGAGGAGTGACATGGAATGCTTCACCTCTGCCTTGAACACAAATACACCGAAGAGTTCAAAGTCTGTGCCAACATCCACAGTCACAGTTACATCTTTCTCGTCATATTGGATTTCACAGACAGTCTTGGCTTTGTTTTCTATATAGAAAGAACAGGGCAGTGCCAATTTGAGTGGCTTATTTTTGAGGAATTTCAGTACTGCCAGCATTTGGGTCATCATTCAGGATTACAAGAGCTTTGGCCTGTGGTTGGAGGAGTGTAGTGTTTTTTTGGATGTCCTTGAGCCCCTTTCCCCACTTTCCTACAAGCTTTTCATTTTTGAAAAAGAAAAATACAGACTCCTACAAGATAAAAAGCAAGATGAGAGATGTGAAACCCCTGAACTCTTGATGGAGAAGACAAAATCACAGACCACCATGTAAATCTGCAGCTGAGTGATATCCAGAGAGGATTTATCCCAGGCCAAGTTCTGAGAGCAGACTGGCTTCATCAGGGTGGGTGTGTCTCCCCTCCACAGTTCAGACAACAAAAGCCATTTAGAATTAGTTCAAAGACTGCTTTAAACTACAGTGGAATTCACGTTTTTTGTGCTGTGTAACAAGGGTTTTTTTGTGTGATATTGGAATCTTACGCAGGTAAATATCTCAGGAACAACCTGTTTTACCAGGTGTTGTACCACATGAGATCTTTCCTGGAGCTAAAAAAACACACAATATAACTAATCACAGATGCAGTTTCAGAATGACAATTTTACTTACAAAGAAGAGAAAGCCTCTATTTAGGTCTTACTCAGTTTGCAGCTGTTGAAGGAACGGTTGAAACAGCCTCAGAGAGCTATCACAGAACAAAAAACCTGCCAGGGATGGCAGGTACCTACCTGATTTCTGGAAGCTGAGAATCAAGTTGATTGCCTTAGGATAACCAGCTGCCTGGAGTAACTCACTGCTGTGTACACTTTGGCAGAAGATATCCACTTGGTGACCAGCATAGTAGGAGTTTATTATGTATGTGATTGATGTTTCTCCAGCTGCAATATGCACGTATCGTTCTTGAGTAGCATTTCTCCCTTGAGAAACCACATCTATCTAAAAAATGACACGTAGACATTAGTTCTCCTAACAACATTTAAATACTATTTAATTTTAAAACAGGGGACAAATGGAAGTGAAAGGAAGTTCTCTCTAGTCTATACTTATGTTAAAAATCTATCCATTAATAAAACATATCTTAGCCTTTCATTAATCATCTATGACTTTCCAGTACAAAGTCTACTCGACTGAATGAATTTCAAACCACGTCAGTCTCACTGATCTGTGTCAAATTCTCAGTAGGTTCTCTTTTATCCCACAAACACATGACTCCCTTTATGTAAAGGATACTTGATCCATGCCTACTGACAATATTTACCAGATAATAGGTGCTCCAATACTTCCCTGAAAATAGCACCCAAAGAAATTCTTCTTTAAGTATAAAATTCCACTTAAAGAGCACAGGAGCAATATTCCATCCCTGGTGCAGTGTGATGAAGCTACTCTCCTGTAGAGCTACAATATCAACAACACCCACTGTACTAACACTGGTCAGAATGGAACACTCTGGTTCAGAAAGCAATCAGTAAGAAATCTGCTTTTTCAGTAGTTCAGATTTTAGCTGTCCATGGCTTTTAAGTATCAGAAAATCTCAGCTTCCATCCTGTACCTCACAAAATGGTAGTTTCCATTCAAACCATGGGCTACTGCATCATAATAAAGGACAATAATTGCATTACAAAAAAAAAAAAAAATAACCAAACCTAAACTACCTGTAAAGATGGTGGGACTCTGGCTTGTAGCAGCCATGGCAAAGTGTGATGGAAATTCCCTGTTATGTTGGTACTTGTTTCAAACTCCTGGATTTGTCCTTCGAGCACTGTTAGGTGAGTACCATAAAGCACTTTCATACTGAAGCTCTTGGTTACTTCCAGGTTCAAGATGCCCTGTGTGCAGCGAAGGTAAATTGTGAAAAGACAGTTTAGTAAAAATTAAAGCTCCTGTTGGTCACGATTCTTTCTTTGGTTGAGGCAATATTATCTCAAAAAATTAATATTGTATAATTTTATAACACAACATAGTTACAGATGTCCCTTTTATTTTTAAATTCCACATTTTAGCATGTATTCTCCAGTATGGCCATGCCTTAATTGCTACTCAAGCAGTTACATGATTAATAAAGTGTTGTGTTGCAGGCTTGTGTTTCTCAGATAAAGAAATATGCCAGGTAATCAGAGCATGGGAGGAAAGTACCATTTGGAATGTAACCAGTGCAATGCCATCAGAACTCACCTCTGCCCAGTCTGTAGAAGGGGCAGTGCAGCTCTGTCAGACAGAGGAGGCACAGGAGCTGACCTGCACTGCCCTCCCCAGGCAGGGCAGGCTGCCAGCCCCCCTGGGCTTGTGCTGCTCCCACATGGGAGCCAACCTCCAATCTCCCAGTCCCAGGGAAAGTTCTGGTCTGGCAAGGTATTCTCCCAACCCCTCAGGAACAAACTGAGCTTCTGGACTCTCCTCAAGAACAAACAAAGTGAGCAGCAAGACTCCCCTCTTCACCTACAGAGCAAACAGTAAAATCCCATCTGCTCCCATTGTCCTTTGCCATCTCACTTTTACAGCTCCTGCTTCCCTCGGGGTGTCATTCCAGGCTGGATTTGTGTCTCCCCTGCCATTGCCTGGTAACTCACCTGCAGCTCAATCCTGTCTTTTATCTGCAAAGTCTTCAGTGCCTCTATGTTATGGGTGAGTTTGTAGTTAAGAGCCACAACATCCAACTTCTGGACAAAGCTCAGTTCTTCTGTAATCTGTTCAGTCCAAGTAAACATGACAAAAGTTAACTGTGGCACATCTCTGATACTGAGACTTCTCTGATTGGTTGTAATTATTTTACTAATTACACATTAGAGTAAAATTATGAAAATGAGTAAAACTTTATGGTGGAGAATTGTACTGTAAAACGGACTGAGCTGCACCAAATGAAGATAATTGACAAGAAAGGTTTGATACAATTTGCCAGTGGGAATCATGGATCATTGATGATGTCATATTTGTTTATAGGAGTGACTGCACAGAAAGAATGGCTGGAGGATACTGCTTTCATTTAATTAAGGTCTTTAAAACCAAACCAGCCTCTGCAGGGTATTCCTACAGGGGCCTCATGCACAGCTATTTCAGATGGAGAAACATTATTTACCAAATCAATTAGCTCACTTCAACCTCTATTTCACATCTCACCAATATGGAAGAGACACTTACTTGCTTGCTGTTCACACAGAAATGAATAAATCTTTTATAGAAGTCACTGTTTTTTTCTGATATCACATCAATTAACATCTTCATAGGAACACCCATGTCAGCAGCTCCTTGAATGTTGTGGGTTAGCACTGCATCCAGCTCTTGCCTTCCCTGTTAATATTTCACAGCACAGATAGCAAAGCACGTGTAGAACCCAAAGTTTGCTGCAACACAGAGCTCAAACCAGAAATTTAACAAACCTGTCTGTCCTATATGTAATATTAATTAAAATAAATTGTGTTGAACTTAGGGGAATTACACTGGGAAAGACAAAACAAACATCAAGCCTAGGTAGGATAAAATATATATATATACATATATATGTATTTCAGCTGAGAGGAAAAAATGTGTAAATGTTTCTCCCTGATGGTAAAGAACTCCCAGTAGCTATCTTGTTTCTCTGTGGCAGAAACATGCAGAAATTACCAGTTATGACAAGAAAACAAATGATCACAAAGAAGAAGACACTTGTGTGTGTTCTCTACTCTCCTGCACTGATGACAAGAAAAGCCAGACTTGTAACTGTCAACAGGAAAGCAAGAAATTCACAGTCTTTCTTGTCCTACTGTCTTACTTAAATAAACACCAGTGTCTCCATTAATCCCTGCCCATTATTTTGCAATGTAAGTCACAGTGACATAAAGAACACCAAATAGTACAATGCAAACAACAAAAATTTACAAAGAGAATAACAAGGAAGTGATTCAGGAAGTGCCAGAGCCTGTATCCTATTATCCTGTACATTTGTTCCTGCGCATTACAGGTGCCAGATTTTCAAAGATTTTATTTTTATTTTATTTTTATTCTGGTATTTATTTCTAGAAGTTGTCTATTTGTTCCCAATAAAACAGTCTGGAGTGCGTTACTCAGTAATTTGTACATGCAGCCTGACAGCCCACAGGATACTCACATCAGTGACTTTGAGTATAAGGAGTCCTTGGAATTTACTGTCATCAACAGTGATCAGTGTCTGTGAATCCAGGTTCATTTTAGTCATCAAAATGTAGCCTGACCCATCAATTTTCACTGGTGCACCAAGATCCTGTAAAAGTAAAAAAAAAATTTTAAGATTCCCATTTCTACACTCACATAAATCCCTACCACTGAAATCCTTAGACTATTGTCTTTTAACTTTGGTAGGTACAAAGATCCTGCCTTAGATGCACAGATTCAGTAGCAAAGCAATAAATTCTTCTCAATACCTGAATTGTTTGGCATTTATTTTCTATAAGCATTTTCCACTGAAGCTTCTTTTCAGGGTCAAAGTCCCCATTCATTTGGAGCTCACAAGCACCCACTTTCATTCCTATTCCAAGAAAATATTTCAGCTGTTTCTGTGCAGTGATGGACAGCTCATTTTCCCTTGGGATTTCCTTCAGCTGGGGGAGGTCATGCCTGAACTGAATTTCCAGTGTGATCTTGGGCTTGCACTCTGCTCTCACTTCAAGACGGGCACTTTTGCCTTCTGTTTCCAGCACAGAGAGAAGCTCTGCTTGGCACTTGTCCCTCTGAATGGATCCTGTGAGCCGTGTCTGAGTCGGGAAACTGAGATCCTATTGAGATTTAAAAACAAGAGTTCCTTTGGAATGTATGTACACTTCCATACAGGTGTGTATTAAGACTTTTTTCTTCTCCCTGTAGCCTGAATAAGGCCTGAGGAAAGATTTTAGGAGCATCCTGCAGACTTTACAACTTCTGTATCTTTACAAAATTTCTCATTTACAAAATACAAAATGCCTCTTTTTTCTGACTGGTAAAGTTTACTGAACATTCTCTGCTTCATTCAGACCAGACAAACCTCAATTTTCAAATTAACCCACAAGAAATAATAGGCCTAACAGACATTCTTGCACCTGGTGGTACAAGGATTTTATATTTTTTTACTACTACAACTTCAAGCTTGTCTTGTGCAGCATCCCCAATGAAATGTTTCTGTTCCTTCTTGCAAAGGATTTGCAAAACCACAGAAAATTCTGTTATTTTAATACTTCAAGAGGTTTTCATTCCCTCTTCACTATGGTTGATACTCTCCTGTCACTTTTGTTTTTATGTTGCTACTTTGTAGCTGAGGAAGTTACTCAATTTGGGGATTTGAAAGCAAAACATAAATGCTTATGAACACCTAGAAAAAAACCCCAATTTTGCAAGAGTCATTCTTTTGAATGCACTCAGTGAGACTACGTGGAAAAACCAAGGAAATGTCACAACTTTTACTTTGATATAAACAGACAGACCAGGGAATATATTTTTGACAAGAGGTCAAACTAATACTGCTGTTGAGCCTTAGAGGGCAGTCTCGGTCTGTGAAGGAAAGAGGCAGCAAAGACTGAACTGATCTCAGTCTACAGAGAACACCTTTGACCAGGATATGTGAGACACTTCCTTGGCCTCGTGCTGTAAGACAGGTGTGCTTTAGAGTGCCTTTCCAACACTCAAACAGTTATTTTAGCTAAAACCTACGGCCTGCATTTGATTCCAAAATTCTCTGTAAAAGCCTCCAAGACCCACCTGCAGAATTGGACATTCTGACTCTGTTTCCAGCGTCCATTCAGCTTTATTCTGAATACAGAGATCTCCTCTAGCCTTAAGTCTGCATGTGCCAGCCTGCAGCAACAAAATGCCCTCTGTGGCAGAGTCTGTGGCTGCAGAGAACAAGACAGAGTTTTCCAAAGGGAGCCCAAGCTGACTGAGCCAGGGGAGTGAGTGCCTGAGCATCCCTTGGAGTGTATATTCATGTTGGCAGGAAGTGTCTATCTGCACATCAACTGTTCTGCCATCACACTGGAGGTTCATTAACAAGCCCAGGTTGCAGATGTTCTGTTGAAATGAGCCCCCAAAGACCACAGCACGAGGCAATCCCATCTCCTGCAGCAGAAAAGATTATACTACTTAAAACACACAAGGGTAAAGCAATTGGCTTCCCAAGTTGTTCCTAATTCATGAGGAAGCATTTCTTCTTTCTGAAAGAATCTGCTTTTGGAAAAGTCCATACAAGACAGCTTATTTCACAGAGAAGTCAGAAACTTGTCAGTGAAAAGACAGAAACAAAATAAATAAATAAAACAAAAAATACTTCTCATAAGTAATATAGAAGAAAAAAATTTTAACTCCCAAAATACCTCCACAGTTTCAACCAGAAAGGACATGCTTTTCACTAGACTCTAGGACACAAATGTATTTTAATTAAAAAGCTATTATTAAACAACTCTTTTACGGCAACAGCATTGTATTACTCCAAATTCACATCTTCAAATGCACTTTCCCTTGTGAATGCTGTGACTCATTTCTCTGCCAAAACAGCTTTAATGACCAAAATTGTCCTGTGCATAAATAACGGTGTCAGGAGAGAGTTCTCTGTGACTCATGATCTGAACTCACAGACTACAGGCCATGCAGAAAACAGTCTGGGCTTACCTCTAGACTGGCACACTTGTTTCTGACAGTAAGTACCCACTCTGTTTCATTGCTGGCCAGGCTCACTTCTCCATCAGCTTTCAAACTGCAAGGCCCAAGGACAATACCAAGGATGCCCTTATACTTGTCACTTCTCAGGGCTGACACCTTCACTTGGTTCTCTCTGGCAATCCCCAGAGAATGAAGTGAAGGCAAAGAGTGCTGGAAATCAATTTCCAGATGAGGCTGGATGTTGGCAGAGGCGTGGAGCTGCAGGCAGGCGAACAGGTCATGAAAGGAAACATGTCCAAAGAAGATGACAGTAAAGTTGCTGGTAAACATCGACCCATTCAGTGAAACTCTTGCTGGAGTCTGAAAAGTTACAGAAAACTGTTGTCAAGTTTGCTTTCCTGTCAGGCCACATACTGGTTTTAAATGTTCATGTTACTAGAAGAGAATTATTTCCCTACACCATTTTGTGTTCATCTTACATGTTTATAAGTGCCTAAACAAATGGAGATATGGCCTAAAATCTTTCAAGTTCTATAGTAGAAATAATAGAGGAAAAAACACCAAATCCATAACTCTGTTAAAACAATTACTAATACCAGATAAATCAACTGCTATTGCTTTTACTATCATCACTTCTGGTTTTTACAACAAGTAAATAGAGCTCTAGCACTGTGATATTTTGTGACATTCCTGTCAGACATCAGCAGGAACAAGTGTTATGCACATTGTACCCATGTTACATGAGGGATAAACTGAAGTGCATTTGTCTTTTTTTTGGCTTTAGAACACACGTGCAGGAATCAGAGTCTCTGTGATTACTGTCTTTATGGAGACAAATGCAATCTCCTGTGATGTCACTCACAGAAGATGTTTTTAACACATTCTTAATACATCCCCTTATAAGGTATATCTTTCTCAAACAGTTCAAGAGCCACAGGGATTTTCACAAACAAACAGTTAGCTGGAAAGAGTAGAAAATAGAGTAAAGAAAACACTGAAATTCTCAGCTTGTGCCCCACATGCTCCCTTGCCCAGTTCCTCTATCAGGTTGGCTGCTCATTAACAGGACAGGGCCATTTATACCCAGTTCAATTCTGACTGGCAGAAGATACAGTTTGAAGACCTGAGCTAAAACAGTTTTTGAGGGACAAGTAGCCTTTTTGAATCTGAATGTTACAGGAGTGAAAATATCTGAAGTGCATGCAAAACCTCCAGCCAGCTCAACCCCATTTCTACATGTGTGACACCTCTGAGTACTTAGAGTCCCTGAGTGGAGGTTAAGACAGGGTGTTGTTGACAGCAGAGTTTGTAAATGAAGCCAGTACCTCAAAATGGTGAAATGCAATGGCACCATTGCAAAGGCCAGAAAGTTGTTTGCTGGCAGATTCTCCACTGCAAGCAACCTGTTGGCATTATAAACAAAGCACATTGAGAGCATGAAGAAAAGGAGAGAGGACTAAAATTCAAAGGAGGGAGCTACAAGGTTAAAGGATAAAACAGATGAAGATACCAAAACATAGCTTTAAGATTAAATCTTACAGTTCAGTTCCAAAAAGAAAAACAGCTTAGTAGATCTGAGGCTATCTCATGTCATCATAATAACTGTGCATTATTATGCCCAAATATTATCAGCATAGGTAAAGACAGAATAATATCTTCAAATAGTAGGATGGAAAAGCTGTGACTGCAAGTTACTGTGCTGGGCAAACACCTACTCCAGTTCCATGACAGAAATGTTTTCTTATCCACCACATCTTGAAAAACCTGCTCTTTATTGCTAAGCAAACAATTTTTAGGCTTTTTCTACTGGCTACTGGCCTTGTTTGACAGAAATCTCTCTTCCCTCTGACCTGCCAGCTTGCTCTCCAGGGTACACCTGACCAGCTGAGATGTGAGGCTTTGAAATACACGACACCAAATACATCACAATATATGGCAGGATTTCTGCAAACCTCTAGTACATGTGGAACAATGTCCATCAGTCCTCCCACATCATGGTGAAGTGAAAGCGAAATTTCCACAGCACTGGCAGTGGTTTCCTTCTCTATTTCAATTTTGAGCTGTTCCTTCTCCACTGTGGTTGTTATCCCTGCAGCAATCTTTGTGGTGAAATTCTATGCACAAAAGAAACCAAATTATGGAAAGAAACAAACAACAATTTCCCAGCAACAACTGGCAAAGGCAGAGTCTGTTGGTCTACAGCAGAAATGCAGACAGAACAATGGCTAAGCCATCCTGTACCAGGAGTCATGGTCCATGATGCTTCTGTGGGTAGCAATTTCCAAAATGGAAAGCCATGCCAAACACTCTCCTGCTCTCTAGCAGACATCCAAAGGATGACATCAGAACTAGTCCAGTACAGGCTCAGATGCAATGCAGCACCTTGGCTCACTGACACCTGATGGCTCCATACCTTAGGCCTGCTGGTTCACTTCCCATTTATAGGGGAAAAATACAATTGGACATCTGTTCATATGTAGAAAAGCACTTGACTTAAATGAGAACTGAATGCAGCATCTCACTTAGCCTAAATTCAGCTCCAAGACTTCAGATGGCAAGTACACAGCATGACAAGAAGCCAGAAACACCTTTCTTTCACACAGTCATTCAGTACCTCTCAAAAATGCAGCAGCTTTTAAAATAAATATATACAGTGCCAAGGCAAAGCCTACAGCTATTAGAAATTGTTCTGCCAAAAAATTAAATAATCACAGGCAGAACTCTTACCTCATAATAGCCAGCAGCTTCTACAATAAAAGGGATCCCATGTTCCTTTATCTTTGAGATGTTGTGCTTTAAGCTCGCAGAGAGCTGGGATTTGGGAGGCTCTGTGGCCAGGCTGTGCCCTCCAAACACAGCAGTAATCCCTTCCCTGCCGCTCTGCAGGGCCACAGCAAGGCTGTGATTTCCTGGGCCACGCTCACACGTGGCAGTGAGAGTGCCATCCCACGGCAATCCTACGGGCAGGGGAGGAAGAAAAATCCACACAACACTTCTGGGTTGTCGTTATAAAACACAGAGAAGATGTATTACAGATCAAAAGAAGTTTTCTGTAATTTTTCTTAAGAAAAGACACATCTGTATATAAAGTGTGATCTCCCAGTTAGCTCCACTTACAGATATTTATAGAAAGACATTATGTACCACGTGAAAATTATATTGAAAAGGGGTTGCTAAATTAAAATGTGGCATGCACTTAGGAAGTCAAAGTTTCCTTTTCTTAATAAAGGATATTTACCAGTGGGTAGTGTGTCTAACTCCAGTAGTCAGCTGTTAAAAATTTTCAGAACGGATTTATTCAGTCTAAAGGGACAAAGGCAATTTACCCATTCAAAATTACTGATAACTCCAGCTCATGAAAACCCATGGCTTTGCTTAGGAAGCAACACTTGGCATAAAACATTTGGAGGAACTGATCAGCTTGCAGTAATACAAGAGAGAAATAATTTACTCTGAAGTACTTTAAAACTGTTTGAGCTAGTTCTGTGTCCATTTAATTGTATTTTCGCAACAATATTAAAAAGAATGTTGCTAAGCCTGGATCACATTTTGTTCTGGTGTGAGCAAAAGCAACTCATCTACTTCCACTGGTCTGCAGTCATGTAAATAAATTCACCATGACACCTTGTCACGCCACACAATCAAGTCAGAGTTTACCTGCATTTTTTAAGAAGTCGATATTATGTGTGAAAGTCCCACTGACTCTGCTGTGCCCGTGACTCATGAGATTGAAAAAGTCTACAGAAAGAGCCTTCTCATCCACCTGCAAGCTGGCTAGCCCCCTCTTCATCTCTTTACTCAGCTCCAGGTGCCCTTTCAGTCTTGCCTCCCCTGGGATTGCCAGACTGCCATTCTGGAACATGGCAACAGTGATGTTGTGTACAGTGACATTCCCAAACACGTTCCTGTTCCTGAGATGGAGTCCATATAGTGTTTTGTTGACCATCACATTGATGTTACCTGTAACAGGCAGAAATTATTACTGTGGAGAGAGTCCTTTGGGACAGAAACAACCACAGTTCTAGAAGCAATATAAAAAAAATAACCATTAGTTTAATACCAGGAGGAAGCAGATGAATTTCCATTTATTATAACAGATAATTTCACCTAATCTGGAGAGTAAATCGGTTTATTGTTGTAGTACCAGTAGAAGTATTTCTAGCAGCTGTTTCTCTTTATTGACCAAGTTGCTTGTGCCTTTAGGGCACAAACTTCTGAAGGAAAGTTTTGTTGTGCAGTGCTTTCTGAAGGAAAATTTACAGAGGGACTGTGACCCACTGCTTGTGTAACTCCAGGCTAAACAATCCCTCTAGAGCTCTGCAGTAACCTACTCCACCCATGGAGCCATTCAGAGGAGTGAGAGCCTCAAGTCAGGCCCCCCCATTTCAGAAGACCTGCAGAGGAAAGAAGCCACCCCCCATTTTGCCCCAGAGTTGGATGCATTATGCCCCTCAGTGAGGAATACATTAAAATTAAGAAGCTTCCTTAGATAGCTACAGAACAGCAACAAAACACAAAGGAAAAGAGTACCATCATGAGTGTTGTTTTTGCACTTCAGTAATCCATGCAGAGAAAGAAGATGAGGTATGGCCTTTAATCCAGCAAACGTGTGTTGGACTCTTCCATTTAGGGACAAAGCAAAGCCAGCTTTCTGTTCCCTGGCTCCCATGAAATCCACGAGAAGTCTATTTTCATTAAGCTTCAACTCAGAAGATATCAGAAGTCTAAAAAGGCAGAGATAAAAATTGCTAGTAAAATGTTATTATGCTTAATTCACGATGGTCAAGGCACCCCTCCTCTCACTCAAAGCAGGATCAGTGAGAGCAGGGTGCTCAGGAGTGTGTGTGGCCACATTTGGAGAATCTCCAAGTATGGAGACTCCACAGTGAACACTCTTCAGTCCCTCAGTTAACCAAGATTCTGATTCCTCTACCTTGATGGAAACACTTTGCCCACGAGCTGCAGCTGTATCGATTCTGGGTTTGCCAGGATCGTCTGATGGAGAAAAGCCCTCAGTGCAACAGCTCTGCCATTCTTCCTGTTTTCATTGTTCACATCGACCTCCAGCATCAGCATGTCCCTGCCACTGGAGTGAAGGTGAAGAGAGCCATTGAAGTTGCTCTCACCATAACTCCTCAGGGCTGCCTGGGCCTGCACACAGAGAAAAAGAAGAGCAGGACATTAAGGATCTCAAATTGCAGCACAGAACATCAAAACATCAGTTTGAGCAACAAGACTGCAAATAACAAGCTGGGACTGGGGGAAAGCAGGGAGGGGAGCAGAGGGGAAAATGAGTTTTGAGGTTTCATCTCTGTGTCTCACCATCTAACTCTAATTTTATTTGGCAATAAACTAAATTAATATTGCCCAAGTTGAGTTGGTTTTGTCTGTGAGGGTAATGGGTAAGTGATCTCCCTGTCTTTATCTCAACCCTGTCACCATGCTAGAGCTTTCAACAAAAAAATTGTGAACTACACTGAATTTTAAGTACAATTTAACTGAACTTTGAGGGTTTTCTGAATTTCAGCCAAAACACAAGTTACCTATTCCAACCACAGGTACCCATCTAGCCAGAACATCAGAAGTTAACCACTTCTCTAACAATGTGTGTATGGACTGCAAAAGCTTCAAGGTTCAAGCAGCAAAGCTGTAAAAGCAGGGCACTGACCTGTGAAGACACGTTCTTGTTGATGGTGGCTTTCACACTCACACCACAGTCGAAGTGTTCCAGTTTATTCTGCCTGGAAAACAGCTCCCCACTCAGGCCCATTGCCTGTGGAAACTCCAGCTATTTGACAAAGCACAATGTCAGAACAGAACGCTGCATTCCCACCAACTGCTTCACGTGAATTAACGTCTGAACTCCCAGCACTAAGTGGAGGATGCACATTAAGCAAATGTCTGTATAAAATTTTACCAGTTTTATCCAAAGGTACTGAAAAATAAATCAAATGCAGTAAAAAAGTATGAAAACAAAAGGTCAGTGGGTTTCTTACAAGATATTATTGATACAGATCATAATTTAACCTGCTGAGGTATTTAGGGTCTCTGGCAGGGCCAGCATTTGATTGGACTAGGACGTTTACCAGCATCAAACAATTAAAATATTAAAGATAACACAGTAAAACAGTCACCAAGACATAAAAAATAAAATGCCAGAAGTGAAAATCACAAATACCTGGAATGAATGGGTCACATCCATGTGCAAAACATGTCTAAAATCAGCCTCACTGGATTTGTTCTGATACCTCCCTAGAAAGCTGAGAACATCTTCCTTATTCACCTTCAAGATAGTCTCAAATTCATTCTTCACCTACGTGTTAAGAATAGAAATAAGGGAACTGCACTGCATTTTAACCCTGAATATTATGAAAGATGAGAGGGTCATCCCTCCACATCATGAAAAATCAGAGTTGTGAGGTATTACATTGTGGTTCAGAATGAAAAATGAGAAAAGCAGGAAAAAAACAACTGTATTTGGTTGGAGAGATGAAGAGGTACAGTTAAGTAAGAGTGAGAACCCTGAATTAATTCTATCCCAGTACTTGTTCTTATTGAAAACATCCATGTCTAACAATATTCTAAAAATAATATATTAAGTATTCTTATCATATATTAATATGTAACACATTATTATACAAAATTAAAGAGGTACCAAGCACACAATCACCCTCTCTACATTTTGGATGCAGAAGTTATGTGGTGAGGAACTAAAGACCTATAGCAAGTTAGGTCTGAAAAGACAATAAAGTGTAAATAAACGGATAATTAATCTCTCCTTCTACTGAATTTAATGGGAAATTTACTCACATTTTGATGACTTAGAGTTAAAATGCATATTTCAACATCTTTGGGGAACAACTTGTGGTTATACGGATGAGTTAGGCCAGCACAAATCTAAAAAAAAGTTTGAGAGGAAAGGCAGGAACATAAAATAGCTGCAGTAAATCACTAATTTGATGAATTTTTTAGTATGTCAAATTGAAGGAAATTCTTGGAAAACTCACATAGGGGTTTTCAGGTTGGTAACCAAGTATAAGAGTTTGAACTGTTTCCTCAACCCCATTTATCAAAACCTTTGTTTCCATGAAATAATGCTTTTGCTTCTTGTCAACAGTAAAAGTCTCCTGCAGAAGGAAGCTCTGCAGAAAGGATACTTTAAAGGGATGCCTAGAAAAAAACAAGGAATAAACAAAGTGCAAAAAGATCTTAATAGACAACTACAAAAAGAAATCATGAAGAATTCAACTTGAACTCCAAGATTTTTGGTTGCAGATACAGCAGGGTGTCAGGTACAGAAGCAAGACACATAAACCCACAACCTTCAAGAAACTAAACAGCACAATTACAACCTCATACAAACTATCAGAAATGCTGGTGTGTCTAAAGAGTTTCCATCCTGGATTTGGAAAAGGCTTGGAAAGGGTGATGCTCTAAAATTCTGACATGCACAACCAGCACATACACTTCATATACCTGCATGGCCAAGACTTCATTTCAAATGTGGACAGTGTCCAAAAGCTTATGGCAGGCTTGAAAATCTCACTATCCACATTTTGTGCTTTCTGTAGAAACAGTATCTGCATGCCAAGAATCCTGTGCAACAGATGTTCAACCACTACTTAGCTCTTGGAGTGGTTTACTACTTCAGTGTAATATTTATGGACTTCAGTAAATATTTCTGCACATTTACTCAGTCAGATATCTTGGAAACATGCACAAACTTTTATAAGCAAATGTTGAACTGCCTTCATACATGCCAGGATATCTGGTACAGCTCTTCATTCTTCATTAATGTATTTTTATTTTACTTAAAGGATGCCTCGCAGGTTTTTAGCTACCTCCAAGCTGCACAGTGCAGCTAAGGCAGCCTGTGCACTCCTGTGGTCCTGCTGTGCTTCAAGAAAGCTGAGGTGCCCCCAGAGATGGTCCAGATGCCTCAAATCTGAGCATACATTTTTCCCAAGGCCTTCAAGCTGTGTTTTGACAATGGGTAATGAAGAGAGAAATTTCAGGGACAGCCAATATCTAAAAGCAGCGCACTCATTCTTATTAGGAAATGGAAACATTCCAAAATCTAAACAAGACCATTTGTTTCGTGTTTTAAGAGGATATCTTTGGCTTTAGAATGGCTATATTATTCCCAAGGACTAGGAAAAAGGCATCTGGATGGCACAGAGAATCAGATCTGGATTTTGGAACTTCTCACCACTTCCAAGTTTGGACAAACCACAGATCCTGCTGTTTTCCTGAAAGGAGGCTCTAAACCTGACTGAGTTGCCAACAAACATGTCACAGCACACGTGGCCTGTTGCCTTTGACAGCTTTGTTTGCTGTCACTTCAATAAAGAGGGTAAAAGCCTATGGATGCAAATAACCACCCCATGAAGCTGCTGTGCTTGAGCAAGTCCAGAGATCCAGGTGGGACAAAGCACAGGCTTTGTGCAGGTAGCACTTTCACCTTGTAAAGCCTGGACCATTTCCCAAGAGCATCAAGATGCACGTTACACTTAGGCCAAAACATTCTGAAATAATAAGGCAACTGAACCTGAAATGGAGGGTTCCACGTTTTTGATAGAGCATCTTCTCCTTCTTCAGCTCCTCTATCTGACCTTCCAACTGCAGTGTGACAGGTAGACTTTTATAATCTCTCCATACAACCTTCACAGAAAGGTTTGTCTTCTTCGGCTGCACTCAAATCACAGAGACCAGAAGAATAAAGGACAACTGCATGAGATTTACTGCATTCATGTTCAGGAACATCCATACAGAAACCACACTGCTCAACAGGCTGCAGCAAGGCAGTCATTTCACAGATCAGTCCCTTTGTGCCGCACACAAATCCAGACCTCCACTTACATAAGATTAAAAGTGACATTAGTAGAAAACTGACTTCAGCAGAGGAAAAATTCCTCATAATGCATCACTTGAATGTCACCTCTTAGCAATATGAGCGAGCTCTGGTACATGGTCATACAAAAACTAACTGGATTTTCGATGCTATGTCTAGAAAAATGCTTGTGGCTTTAAGACTTCCTGCAAGGAACAAATGGACCAAAGTAACTCATCAAAGTATCCCTTTCAAGGAGAAACTGCTGGTTACCCTTCCTGTGCCACAGACATCAGGCAAAGCAAAAATTATTTTAAGATTGGAAGGGATGTAGAGCCTAAAATAGCCCATAAACCCTGGCTTACCATGCTCTCTTATGAGGCAAGAGATTCTAGTTCTCTAAGACAATAGAATCGTCCACACCTGTCATTCATCTGCATCAAATAGTAACTAATCACATCTACAGCTCTTTTCTAGTCAGGCAGTCTCTCTTTGTCCCTCCTCCCTGACTTTCTGTCTGTAGCTGGCCTCCCAAATAGGTGAGAAGCACTCCAAATTACACTACACAAGTTTTTGTTTGTTTTCTTTTTGAACCTAGTTTTACACGGCAGCCTTTCAAAACAGACAGATATAGATGCAGCACGAGAAGTATTTAAGTTTCAACACTAACAATAACATCTCTCAGGAAGGTGGCAGACCTAAAAAACACAGTGCCGAGTTCAAAAAATTGCATTTGTTTTTCTTTCTAACCATTGGCAGATTCTGATAGCTGGCTGTGAAGTTAAATTCCTGTTTTGTACTCGTTATCAGAAAGCAGAGAAGTTTGGCTCGTTCATTGTTCTCCAAATGAATCTCATTCTTCACGAGCTGATTCCACAGAGAGATCATTTCACCATAGCTATGCAGAACATTCCTCCCGAGACGATTAAATGTGGATGCCTGAAAAACAAAGACATTAGTCTGGTTTAGCCAGGACAGACAGCATTCCATTGTGCCAGCAGCACAGAGGTGAAAGAGTGACCATTGCAAGAACTATTAGAAATGTGTGCCAGCTTTTCCATTAGGAAAGTATTCTGAATTGTCATAAAGATCTCCAAGTTTATTTTACCCTCGCTAAGCAAGGAGAGAGAAAAAGCTCTCCAGGAAGAGGAGAGTTACATTCTTCTCAGGCAGAGGATGCCTTTAAATCTTGTGCCTCAAAATTAGTGAATTTAGGTAATCACTGGGCTGTTAATTTAGAAGTTTATCTATTGTTCCTATTTTTTAAAGGAAAGACACTCTCAGCTGTTTCATGTCAGTAAGGGCAAGTTTTAAACATTTCTTACAATGATGATCCAATTTTCCAACTTCCTGAAATTGTTAGCTCATGCAAGGGATGGAGGTAAGAACTTTGAAACAGTAATGACTATTTGTACACTCCTAGGCAGAATTCTGCCCTCCTGTTTTGAGCTTTGTGCAGGGAGCAGTGGATACCCATTCCAAAGAGGGGCAGAGCTGATGGTCCTGACATTTTTTCAAAGCTAATACAGAGCACCAGCTGTGCTGATTTGACAGCCCTGGAGAAGAACAGCTCATCATTCAAGCACAGAAAACAGATGAACACAGGCATTTTGAGATCCTCTTTTATAAGCTGGCACACAATGCACGAGTTTCTCAAACAAGCAGTTCACAGAGCACCCTGAGCAAGTGCTCCTGCAGTGAGCTGACAGTCCCAGAGCTGTCACAGAGCCCTCTCATCAAAGCCATGACCCAGATGGACATGTTACCAACCTGCAGGTATGTGGTAGCTGGTGTGTAAATGTGAACTTTCCCTTCCTTTTCATTGCCTTGATCTTTATAGAACAGTTCCACTACGAGGTTCTTAATGGAGAGAGCTTTTCCAGTTGTCAGCTCTGTGGTCAGTAAATAAGCAGAATTCTGAGGCTGATGTAGTTTGTGAGCTGCATGCAGATACAGCCATGGGGTGTCTAGATGTACCCCACCTGGAAAGAACATATATTAGAGCTGACAGAAACATGAGATTTCAAGCTACCTGGACTCTAACTCAGCAACCAGGCTGATAAGATGCTGGGGTTTTGGAATGAAGCTAAAATGGTACTACCAACCTATTCTCTTCCAGTTACTAAAATCTCTGGATGGTATGTAATGAAATTATTGTCCTTCACTACTGTAACATATGGCACATTGTAACACAGAGGCAGGTTTGCTAACAAATGGAATTGCTGGAAGAGGCCAGCCAGCTAGGCTGTGGGAAGTTGGAGACTTCAAAAACTCAGCTAGACAAAGCCACAAAACCAGTCCTGATTGGAGCAGCAGGCTGGGCTGGATAACCTCATGGTTCCTCTCTTCCAACCAGCACCTCTATCACTCTGTTACACCCATGCAAAACCACCTCAGAAAAGCCCAGCAGCACCTTCCAGTGCCTGCTTTTCAAATCCCAGACTGGAAATGGTTGGTGGCACTTCACCTTCCCACTTCTTCAGGCCATTTCTGGATGCGTCCTTCCACTGCAGCCCAGCTGCCAATGGCACATGGTCATTGTACTGCACCTCAAAGCTGGTGCTGCTCTGCAAATACACCTGAGAGGTGTGCAAGTGCTGCAGCTGGGTTCTGTAATTCACCTGCTTCTCCAGGACCTGCAGGGCAAACTGGAAAACAAGTGAAGCAAATTTAAATAAAACCAGGATCCCGTCTTCAGGACCGTCTAATTTAACACATGTACCCACAGAGTAGCAGGAAGGTCACAGCTTCTGCCTCTGCTCTGGGTACTTGACTTATATGATTCATATACACCATGTTTACAAAAAAATTTCTTAATAAATTAATTTTTTTTTCTTGTTTTGTCTGTTGGATATTTGAAGTGAAGACTCCTCAACAATCATGATTACCTCCATGAAATAGCTGACTACAGATGGACTGGAACTGTTCTTGAATGCTTGGCTGATCAGCAGTTTCTTCTTGTTGCTTGTTTCATTCCAGTGTTTCCCATAGTTCACTTCCATCTGGGAGGAAAGCCAAGATGCACTCGCTTCATGTTTCAGGTGAACCTAAAGAACAGAGAACTGCATTTTTCCTGTGAATTTTGCTTTCTCTTACATGTACTGAGCCCCTCAGTACATGAGTGACACAAGGGCATCAGCACACAAGTGCTTGGGCCAGTATTTACCTTGTGATTGTAGGCTGGAGTCTGCACACAGTGAAATTCGTGCTCAACATCCAGTTTGTACACTCCATGTGCACCTGTCTCCACTTTAATATTTTGCCTCATACTGCATTCATGACAAGGATTTTTTGCCTCCCTGTTCAAGTGAAATCACAAATTTAGCAATTCAAATAAATCAGAAGCAAACTTTCAAAACTGAAAGTCTGGTACTGGCTTCAAGGCTTCCATTTTTCAGAAACACTCAAATGAGATTTGTCTCCTTTTACAGCTATTGTTGATTTATCCTACAAACCCAAAGGAAAGCACACATTTCTCTGTCAGTGTACCTAGGAGTCCGTATTTTATCCTCAAACTGTGAGACCACAGGCCCTCCTGTTGCTGGAGAAGAGCGATGACGTGAGCTCCAAGAACCCCTGGCAGGCAGGTCTCCCCTTCCAGGGAGTATTGTCTCAGCTTGTCATCGACCTTTTTCTCCAGAAGTGCTGCAAAAAGAGTAGAGGTGATTATGCAGTGGTAGAAATGGAGGTTAGTTTAGCTGGTAAAAGCTAAACTATAAAGTCAGAGCCAGGTTGTGGTTTTCCAGTAGCATCATCGGTTCTCAGGGATAAGAGTCTGAATTCAGACCAGAACTGGTTTTGATGCAGCCACTGGCAATCCACGTGAAAGGACGAGGATTTCACCAAGAGATGACCTCCCAAAAATCAAACTGGCATTTTGCATTCCTTAACAGTCAGTTTTATTTGAAAATACTGCATAATACTATGATATTTCAGTGTCTTTGCCGCATGGGGACTACAGTAAGGAATACCAAGGAAAAAATGAGAATCTTAGATTAAAACTACTGATTTATTCCACTGTATTAATCTGCTTTTTAATGAACTGATGTTACACAAATAGTAAAGCCCTTTCTGATACCTTTCTCTTATATTTTCCTTTTAGCGTGTTAGTGAGAAAAAAAAAAAAGATTTCAACATTCTTAGAACTACAGATCTTAAAAAACATTTAGTTACAAATGCACATCTCTGCACTGTTTTGTACTAACAAACAAAAGTGAAAACAGAAAATGTCCTAATAGCTGACATTGTTTGGCATGTTTTTGTGAAGTGATTCCTTATATCTTATCTCCTCCACCCTCTTCAACAGGAATTCAAAGCAGACTTAAAAATGTATTTTGTAATTCCTACTATTCTATTATCAAGGGTAGTAATTGTAAAAAGCAGTGTTTACTGATTTGAAAGGAATTTTAGGAATAGGTGTTGATAACCAGGCAACCCTAACATATAAGGGCTCCAGAACTTGCATTTATATGGCAAATACTTACTGTCCTCTGACCTGAAAGAAATGCAGCATCCTTCAGTAAATTACTCAGGGACACTGAGAAAGCTATCTTCTTGCCAAGCTGTTTAGTGATGTTTCCTGACAGAATGACAGGACTGCTTTGCTTTATCAGCTTTACCTCCAGCTGGGTCATGGATCTCTGCTCTCCACTCAGCACCTGCGAATCTGTCACTCCCTAGAATGAACAAACAAACAAAAAATCCAAACTCCAAGCACACTCAGCAACACAAATAGATCAAGCTTTGAGAAAGCAGTAGCAGAGGCTTGGGCATTTCAGAAATGAGACAAGAAAAAAAGGGTTTTTCTGTACACCCACCAACTGACCTTCCACCTCCCCTCAAACCATCAAACTTGCCATTAGTAAATAATGAGGAGGAAGGATGGATTTGTTTTTCCAGTTACACAAAAATCACAGTGCTGTGAGATGCTATTTCCTTCAGCTCCTCCTGGGTTCAGTAGTGACTGAAACCACTAAGAATGTTGCAATACTGGGCCAAAAAATAATATGGTGTTACTGAAAACACTGGCAGTCTCACAGGGCTTTAGGCTGACATAGATGCAAATGCAACAGTCTGCAATGCCAGTTAGTGTTTGGTTTCATGAGAAACATTCAGAAAGTCTTAGTAGAAATATTACTCTAGAAAAAAATATCTGGTAAATAATGAGCTCACTGTAGCAAAATACAGAATGTTTGAAACCAACTGGCTTTGGAGGCCCACATAAAACATGGCATCCTGCTATGGGCATCAATTGAATAATGAAAAAGTTGTTCATGTCCTGAAATTTAAATGATCAGCAGAGTTTCAGTGATAAACTCCCAAATGCATTTTAGTTTGCCTTTTCATTTCATCATTCAAATATTGGCATTCTCTTGCTTATTCCACCTCCCCACAGTTTCAGTAATAAATAACGATACCTCAGAGATTCTTACATCTACAGAGTTCACAGAAGTGAGGAAATTAGCCTGGGCTTACTCAGAGCTGGTCATGCATGGTCACAGCACAAGTCTGAAAAACTTTGTGAGCACATATGTGTGTAATGAGCCAAAGGCCACAGGAGTCACTGGGAACTTCTCTACTAAATTAATATATGGAAGGAACCCCAAGGTTTTGAGTACATCTGAATGGGAAAAAATTGCTTTAGATGACTTGTAGAAACCATGCTTTAAAAGCTTTTAAAACAGCCATTTAGCACTAGTCTATCTCAAAAATACGTAAAATAGAGAATTGGTAATTTCTCTGATGGACTGCTCACAGAACTATTTTTCAATATGTGTGTTTTCACTGCCTTTCCTTTGTGTGCTTTTATTTAAGCATTCATCCTAGTTTGACAGCTCATGAACTGAAAACATACCTTGATGTAATACACGTCTCGGTCATCCACTATCAGCTCCAGGTGTCCAATTCGAGAATTTTTAGAAAACTCAATCCTCCCTTGGAGAAAAATAAAACTGTTTACTTTTTCTGGGCACACACTGTTCAGTGATGCTTCATGAAACTGTACCCAGGATGACAGTTGCTGTTGTTATGAACAATGTATATACAGAGTACAAACATAATAAATATCAGCTCAAAGGAAAGAATTTAGGATCAGAGTTTGCAAAGTCATTTGGCAAAGTGTTCTCAGAATACACTTGTCATTTTGAAAGGACATTCTGAGGTTATTAATTTAGAAGAGGCAACAAAGCTTTCTCCAACAAAACCAGTTTAGTTCTGGAATTGATTTATACACCTCCTTTAGGTCTGTGCTAAAACTTCTATGTTGTGCTGTGGAGACATTTCAGGGGCTCAGAACACTGTGCATGCACACAAAACTTTGCACAGTGTAGATAAATCTTCCTTGCAATCCATTTGAAAATAACCAGGATCAAAAAAAACCAAAAATAAATGAAGGGACAAATTCTAAATAAGTGATCTGGTAGAATACATCAACACAAAACATCACTTGACCAGCATGTAAAAGAAGCTGAAAGATGCTGTCTATATTACTACCATGTGTGGATCAGTTTATATTTCAATATAAATATTAAAACATATCAATGTGTTTGTTGATTTTGTGTTCTATGTTGTGACTGAAAGGCTACATTTTGTTCAGAATGCACAGCAATTGAATTGATTTGGCAACAAAAAATTTCATATCATAACTAACAGAACACAGCAAATGCAAACAGTAAGGCCTGTTCAGCATATGTAAAAAATTACAGAACAAGCCATCGTGTTCCTTAGCCTTAATTTCATTTACTCTTTTAACAGCTTTCTTGTCTAACATGGATTTATGAACCAGGTACTGAACTGAACATGCAAAATAGTGCTAACCAAGATGCAAAACCCACAGGGAATGGGTGTTACCTAAAGCAGTGAATTGAATGCCTAACACACAATAATGCAGCTTCAGCACTAGATTATTGACTGAAATATATTAATATTTCTCAGTTAATTCTAATTAAGTTCTTCTAACTGATATTAACTGATGATGAGGTTCTTAGTTGAAAAACCTACCTACCATCAATCTCAATTTTTCTCTTGGGTTGTATGAATTGGATCCTGAGTTTCTTCTGTGGGACACTAAAACTGAGATCAACACCAACATCCCTTTTCAAGTCTGACTTTGGAGTCCCAATGAAGAAGTGAAAGACAGCTTCATTTGGGATCCATGAATTCTCCTGAAAGAAAGAAAGGATAACCACATTAGTCACTGGCAAGGCAATTACAAAACAATCTATGACACTGAGACTGTTTGTGCGGGCTGTTTTGTGTACAAAAATAGTGTGTACCTACTATCGGCATCAGTAATTTATTTTTGACATGTTTTCCCACTATAATGGGAATGAATTAATAATAATGTAGACCTTGAAATCCACTTAGTTGAATATGCAGTACTGAGATATACCACTCTGTCCTCAGAATAATAAACTCAAGCTAAAGCCAAAGTACAAATGCCACAGGTACCTGAGGGACATAGTTATATGCAGCTTCCACAAGGTACTGCTGCAGGCCTCTGTCCTGCTTAGTTAACGTGACAGCCACTCTCAAAGGTCCAGGGAGGGGGAAACCAAACCACTGGCTGGGGCAGGGTATGACATTTCAGAGCAGAGCTGCCAGCCAAGGATCTCAGACACTGGTGGAAGACAACAGTTGAATGTCCAGTTAGAACAGCAAACAAAGAAAACATGCAAGGGAACATTGCATTGAAGACCTTTTAGAACTAATATACAAAAAATGAACTCTACTGAATAAAATGATCTGATTTGGATCTTTCAGAACGATCAGGTTTTCTGAGACAAACATCTTAGCTGGACTCACCTTCCTCCCTAGTGCAAGATCTGGTATCTGTGTGGTCTTGGAAAACATCTCTTTCTTCTGTCTCATCCACCCCTCTGAAGTAGAGTTTAGAGCTACAACCAAGAATTGTGAACAGTCACTTAAAAACAGTTATGCTGAAGTTCTAATAATATTTAAACAAAATTCTCAGTTATGTGCCACCTTCTCCCAGATGCGAAAAACAAGAAATAGGAAGTTCTGCTAAGGTTGGTTTAGATTTCTACTAATTAACACTGACTTTTATCCGCAGTTTTCATGTCTGACCTCTCACTATCTTGAGAATTTATCTGCAGTTCTTCACAGTCAGTATCAGATTTCTCTGTTCTCAGCAATTTGCTATGGTCAGCTTATTGGACTCCACTCTCTTCCTGGCTTCTAGAAACTTTGTTTTCCCTTAGGCTATGTATGGACATCAGTTTTGTTTCAGTCTTGAAGTTCTTTCAGAACCTCAAAACTTCACTAAAAGCTCACCAGAAGGGTTTGAGCACACCTTCTTACTACCATACTCCAAATTTCTCCAGTGTTTTGTTGAATAGCATTCTGAGCCTGGTATTGCTAAATACCATCTGCAGAAGCAATGCTAAGCTTTTCCTCCAGCATTTTAATACCTTGAACCAGATTCTTTGAACACTAAAGTTCCAGAGACAGCACTGACATTCAGAAGGAAGAAACAGAGGAGTATGAAAAATATCATTTACATCTTTTATCATAAAGCTTTGATTTGAATGTACGTTTTTATGGTAAAATAATGTAGAATGTGCCAAATCATTTCCACTTGGTTTTCTTCTGAATGACAGATCTGGACTATGAGTCAGACTGAAACGGTTTATTTTCTGACAAAATATATTTCTTCTCTACTAATGAGCCTGTCAGTTCAGTTCTGATTCAAGAAAGTTAATGTGGTTACTATTTTTGGAGATGCCGTTGCTCAATCTTACCTGAAATTAATTATCTCCATAGATTCTTCTGGAGTGTTCAAGAAAACTTTGAGCTCTTGCCCTTTTTTCACCTGGATTCCCCCATCAAGACTAGTGGATGTCCTCATTCCTGTTAACCAGCCTAGGCCAGCTTGTCCCAGAGTCCCCACAGTTCCCATGTGCACAGAAAGCTGAACAAATGCACTGTTGAAAGATTCAGATACATCTCCTCCTAGTAAAAACATTTTCTTTTTAAAGCACTTAATTTAAACCTCTTCAATAAGCATTTCCTGCTGTGACACAGCATATTCTATGACTAAAATAATGAACTATTTTGTTTCAGAAATAACGGAAAAATTTGTATGTACAGACACACATGTTCTATCATGAATTAAAGCGTAGTTTTACTATATCTCCTAAGTAAGGGATTTGAACCCAGCCTTGAGCATGAAATACAGCAGCAGAGTTCAAAATCAGACAGGCAGGACAGGAAAACACTGCTGCCCTCACACCATGGCAAGCATTCAGCAACATCAGGCTGACGACTGCTTTTGTTCTTCAGGAATCTCCTAATTGATTACAAAGGACACTCACAGAAAACATTCACATTAGGAATCGCTGCTTGACATCAGGAATATGTGGAAGTGACACACTGCAGCAGTTATTATTACCTTGGCTTGATATACCCGTTGAGAAAGAAATCTGAGTGTTGTTTGAAATCCGCATTCCCTTTGATTTTTATGTTGACTGCTGCAGAGGCATTGACTGCCAGCTGAACAGGAAAGCCTGAAATTGCTGGAAACTGCAATTCTTCAGTGGCCAAACTCATCCTTTTATTAAACTGGACCTCCTGACCCTGTGGTGAAAAAAACCAAGCAAACCCCAGAATTTTATTTTGCACAATAAAGTCAGCATTAGGCAATTTTCCCAGTTATAACTATCGACTGCATCTGCCTGCTGTGAAAATGCTTTTAAGTGAGCTGATTTGGAACATCAGGAAGAAAGCAGCCCAAATCCTGCATCTGGCCATGGTATGAGTCAGGCACTAGTCCTACCCCAGCTAAAGAAAACTATTTTTTTAAGCATGGGTGGATTTGAATGAGAGAAGCACGAGATAAGAGCCATTAGATGACAGAACAAGTCCTTGTCTAATATACTGAATGTAAATATACTAATGTATATTTAAACCAAATATATGCTGGTGTCTTTTAGAGGTCAATTTAGAGAAATAACAAGTAAGATATTGTACCTTGTACAAATCTGTTAAAAAGAGGTTTCTCAAGATATTTACTTTCAAACAGAAAAAAGGTTCCATTTACCTTCAGAAGTTTGACAGCCAACTCAGCCAGATTTAAGGAATAATGTTTCATTTGTTTCCTTAAATCTTCACAATCTAAGAAGCTAAGTTCATTTCCAAAGATTTTCATGCTCAGCTCACATTTCAGTGCCTCCTTTCTCACCGTTCTCTTGGTGAACTGACACATGACAAAGAAAGAAATCAAAGAGAACGATGTTATAATTTCCTTCAAACTCGTAATACACAATTCCTCAATGCAGGCTCTTAGTAAAGACACATTAGGCTCCCTTTTACAAATACTTCAAGACCACTTAAGACCCTGGGTTAGTCCCTGTTCTTTCCAGCTAAAATTCAGCTCCACACCACGCGAGGTGACTGCCACTATGAACACACGTCATGTGCAGTCACAGCATGACTGGCAAGAGAGAAGTATTGCAATCCATACCCACAAACAGCTAAAGCTTTGAAGAATGAAATCTCAATACAACATTAGGGATTGCTAAATAAACTGCTAAGGAGTAAAAATTTTGCATTTTCTCCCCTTACGAATCGATACAACAGCAACACACATGATCATGAGCTTACACCTGAAGGAGATGAGCCCCAAGAAGAGAGATGATCTAAGACAAACTGAACAAATCATAGTCCCCAAGTTTTCCAGCTAACACATCAACAGCTGAAGTCAGTTCTCAGAGCTTTCCTGTTGTATACATAGAACACAGCTCTTTTCAAATATGGGTAAATTCACAAAGGGTCAATGTAACATCCAACATCAAACTGGGAAGTCAGATCACAAACAACAGGAACTTAACATCAAGCAGCTGTTTACAGTGCCAAAGTAGTCAGTAGACAACAGGACATCAGTATAAAGAGGATGAGGGCTCAAAATAATGAGAGGAAGCCCAAAACACAGGCAACATACTCCCATGGCTGAGAATCATTGTTTTGAGACAATAGAACAACCTGAAAAACTGAAGATCTGGCTCTTTGCTGCTTTGTATTTTAGGCAGCTGTTGATTTCTCTGCAAGTGAGCAGAACAAATCACACGTGCTTTATGCAAAGGGGTCACAGTAACACACAGTCCAGTGCAAGATGGGGCCCTCAGGTTAACTGGGGAATGTCATTAATTTTTCCAAGATCTACAGAGTCAGTTACCTTTTTGACCAACTCACTCATCTTATTGTACTTTCTACCAAGACAATTCTGGCTTGTTTTTCTCAACTTTGGCTTGCCACTCTTGGTCACAAGGTGATCAGCGGGGCTGTATCGCTTCAAATTCAGCTTCCTCTGTTTGATTTTCCCTGCTGTTTCCACTGGGGTTTCTGATTTGTGGTTTCTTTCCTTAATGTTTCCAAAAAAATAGTCACTGAAAGAAGCAGATTTCTGCCCAAAAACCTTCTGTACCAGACTTTCAGCGTTCTCCAATCGTACACCAACCTAGGGAAAAGCAACGACAGCCTTGAAAAGCCTGGTAATGACCTGCATAAACCATGTCCAGCTCAACAAGCAGCAATTAGAAAATACAACCAGATGCAACCAACAGTGAAAGATTTGCCAAACAAGACCCCAGCAGCCTACAAAGTTTAGCATTAGATCTCATGCAGCATCCATTACTGGATATTCCAGTATGAAATCGTTCCACAAAAATTAGTTGGTTGATTATGTCCAAAACAAAAATCCTTTTCCTTTCAGATACTGGTTCATTTACCCATGATGGGACAGTTTGAGCTGTATTCAACAACCAGAGCTGAGTTAGAACTCTCTTGGCTAGTGCATGGTACTGCTAGAGTGCCAGTGCTTTTATTGTGACTAAATCTATTATACAGAGGAGTCACCAGTCCGGGGCAACTGTGCTGTAGCAGTGAAAAGCACACCTTGCTAAAGGAACTACAATGGGAAAACAGAAAACACTCATTTTTACTTCAATATACCAAGTGTCCCTTGAGGAATGGGATAAAAAAAAAAAAAAAAAAAAAATCCATAAACTTGCCTCCAGTAGATTTATAGCCTGTCCCATAAGGTGAACAGTCAGATTTGTCATAACTGATCGTGGTAGAAAAGATGCAGGAGAAAACACCACTGATGCTTCCACATTTGCACCTGCACCAGCTGCAATGGAAAACACCAGATGTGTGTCAGTTGGAGATCAGCTGTTCTCATACACTGTGCAAAACTCGTAATTCTTTGGGAAACTGTAACTCTACTCATTAAGAAGATGCTGAATAAAACATCATCAGTAGAATTTAACTTTTTAGTACAGCAAAGATGTTACTGTAAGTAATTTCCATTTACTGGAATCCTATATTTACTGGATATTACTGGATTTTGTCTCACTAACATCAAAAGAAGTGCATTCACAATACATAATGTACAGAAATGCACTGGAGGAAACGGACAAAAAAATCAAAGTGTTACTCTAAAAAGTATCATCTACTGTTTTCACTGAAAACAAATGATGAACTGATAGTAAAACAGGAAGGAAATAGTTTGAATATTTTCTTATACAAAGGGAAGCAAGCACATGAACCAGGAGAAAAAAATAATACATCCCAATCCCCTGTTGCTGCAAAGGAAGCTCACTAAGGAAGGAATCAAAAGTTGGGTGTTCACAAAAATAATCTTTAAAGTTTATTGGTCCTTAGTCTCCTCTCTGACAAAAGGCAAAGACTCAAGGTGTCTGGTTTGTTGGAATTACATTTCATGTACTCCAATTAAGGTCAGAGCAGAATCAAGTTTACATTTGCATATCTGGATGTTGTTAAGTCATAAAAATTAAAGGTCTCAAGAGCAACATGTAAAGAGCCAGAAGAGCCATATGGGATTTTAATAATCCATAAGTTACAAAGTATTAAGTTCTAAAACTCCACATACCTGAGTGAAACGTGACGTCAGAATATGAGGAGTATTTCCATGTCTCCCTTTCAAAGTCTCTGCTAAGGATTTCATCAGGAATAGAATCTCGAAGATGCTCCTTCAGTGGATCATCTGTCTCCAGGATCTGAGAGAGGTGACTCCAAACAAAGGAGCCCACTTAAATTTAACAAAGAAAACCATTTGGAGGGTAGAGAAAAATTAAAGCAGTTTTAAAAACAGATACAGGCAATATTTTCATTTATTTACACCAGTATTAATTCTAAGCCACTCCTCTGACCACAGCTGAATTCATTCATTTTCAGCACCATTAAAATCAGTCTGATGCATCACAGTCACCTTATTGAAATACTGTCTTATTCTTTCCAACATGGTATAGGAGGGACCATTCACTCCCTAATTTCATTTATGCCTCTCAGCTATCCTAGGCAGGCAAGGGTGTAAGAATAACCTATTTATTTACTGTTTGCAGAGGATCTGGTACACTGAATTTAAAGGAATGTAAGAGAATTAGAGATGGTTTTCAACTTTGGCAGCACCCCTGGTTTTGTTCTTCAAAAATCACTGACCCAGTGTACTGAAACATTAAAAAGAAAATTTAAGCCTGGGATAGACAGCAAGCACATGCAAATCTGAAAGCAACAATTAAAAACTATAAGCAGGAATAAAAATAGCCTTTTAAAGACAAGCATTAAGCAACTTCAAATACCAGGAGGTCTATTAATCTGTTAGTACATGAACATTAGCAACAACATTGGTGGACTTATAAGAGAAAACTGTCATACAGCAAAGAAACCATTCCAAGACAAAGGATCTTCCTATACTGTGCATCCCATGTGTTCTGGAGTCTGGCTCTTAAACAGAGGGTTTTTTGTCTGCTGAAGATAAAAGATATGCTCCAGACACTGAATACTGATATAACTGCATTTTGCACAACACAGCTTCTTTTTTTCTTTCAAATTTCTTTTTCTGAAGGTGGCAACTCAAAACTAACATGTGCTCTATGCCTTCAAAAGCACCTGTTATTCAAAAGTTTAGTGTATAAATTATTTAGGTGTCACATCAGTGAAAGACAAAGGGAAGAAAATAGCAAAAATTTGTGAGTACTGCATTCAGTTGTTTAAAACACACAGCACTTTGGATGGGCTTGTAGAGCTGCTTCATAAATTAGACAGAATAAATTTTCTGCATGGAGCCACAGGGAGGAGAGTCACTGAGGGCAGACCTCAACAGGATTTTGCAGGTGGATGCAATTTCTCTCTGTCTGAACTCTAAGCAGAGGGGAACAAGTGCCCTCCAAACCACAAGCCACATCATCAGGTGAACACAATGCTGAGCCTGAACTCATAATTGCTGCAGGATATCACATCCTGGTAAGATGGGTACACAGCTTCAAATGCTGAGCTGGCCAGGACCCAGCCACACCTGAGTGCAGACAGAGCTGCTTTCATCTGCCTGCAAACAAACAATCTCACAGAGACCCTTCTCGTGTTTGCTGCTTCTTGACAGATTTAACTGCAAAGGATTACTCTAGAGGTATTCTTCCTTAAACACAGTGAAGCCATTTTAGAATATTGCAATATTTTTTCTGCCACTTGCTTCTTTCTCAACAAAATGCAATTTGCAGTTATCCCTTTGTATTTCTAACGTATTGAGTAACAAAGATGTTCCACCTATCTTTTCAAGAGCCTTCAGCTAATGAAGTGTTGCCAGTAGAGGGAACTAATTCTATGAAAAGTCAGTCCTTACTGACTACTGCTAAACCAACAATATCACAATTTCAATATGAACTGTCACAATCAATTTTTAAAAAACAATCTACAAAGCATTAAGATTAAATAATTTCTGTAGATTAGTACCATTACACCTGCAAAACAAATGTTTTAAAAGTATAATTTAAGAACATGTCAGACTCCAGTAGTTGCTTGGCTAACCTTGGCTGGATGTTTCTTTCAGCAAAGTCTTTTGTACTTGTTTAAATAATTCTTCATGTGGACATTTCATTGCTATATAATAAGCAGCAATTCTTATTTCCACATCTTCGCTGGTTGCTTGATACAACTGAACTAATATATCATTCTAAGAGAAAAAGATGAAAAAATGAAGACAATTACAGTTTACTCCCTCAGAACACCTCATGCATGCACTTCCAGGTCCAGGTGGGTTTTTGAGGTAGCTATTGCTCTATATCTGACAAAATCACTTTGTGCAATATGTATACAGATGTTTATACATATTCTCTATACTACCTTATCCACAGTGACCAACTGTCGTTATGACCTGAATCCTGAATCCTACTAATTTACACAGGACTCTGCAACACAGACCCTCACCTGCCAGCACAACTGCTGCAGATGGTTTTCTTTCACCACAGGGGAGACCTGGCTGTTATATTTCTCACACGTGCCAAGGCTCAGACACAGACAGCAATGGACATGTTTTTGTTCACAGGCTGTTGAGATCATTAGTTCTGGTCTCAATCAAAGGGCAGAACTGCAACAAATTTGTGCTGTTCAATATTTCCCCAGTATCAACAAATATGATTTTTTTGGTGAACTGCCAGGAACTAAGACATTGGTGACTGATACTGGTAACACTTTTATTAGTATTTAACACCCCCAGCCAACCCACAGGGTGTCAGTTTAGCAGTTCATTTGATGGCGTGTATGACAACATAGAGACTTCGTGCTTTGAACAGGTCTAAGGATCAAAATCAAGCTTCTGAACTACAGAACAAGTGAATTGTGCCAATCCATGCTGCAATTAAATTTTTAAAAGGCCACAGAAAAATACTTCTCCAAGTGCAAATCCATGTGAAAACTCTTGTTCTCTTGGAGCAGGGCTGCCAGCTTTGCCCCGGCCAGCACTCGTGGATTTGCCATTCCTTTTAGCATCAAGTTATTTGAGATAAACAAGTTTTGTGCTTTCTTCCATTAAACCATTTAACAAAATGTTCTAACTACGACAGTGTGTTGCAAATCACAACAAGCTTCTCACATTAATACTTCATATTTCAGGGAATGGTACAGAGGAACTGACTACGGGAAGAATCGAATACTGTGGGTTCTCAACCCACCCAACTGAAGTAACTATTTAAGAAGTCACAAACACTGCCTGAGTCACTGGATGTGTCACCTCAGCTACAGCACAGAGGTCTGTTCATGCAGGGGGTCCTGCCCACTTCTCCAGCAGCACAGGGGCTCTGCTGGAACACACCTGCACTGGTTCCTTATTGCTTTGTGTGTTTTGTAGCTATTCCAGAAAGTCAAAACTCTGCAGCAGTGCCAGGAAGTCACCTGTTGGCAATAAAGCACTCACCCTGACAGAGCAGGGAATGCGCCTGAAGGCCTGGATAGCAGCTAGGCGGATTTCCACGGGATTACTGCTCAGGGAAGCACAGGAGCTCAGAACAGGAGCCAGCGAAGCCGCTGCCAGTCCCGCGTTTCCGATGGCTTTTAACACCAGTTGCATCTGTAAATACAGAGCAAGGGGGAACAAAAGGTTTCTCACATGTTATCGGCCGTACATTAAATTTTATTGCAACAATATTTTCTGTGCAAAACTGTGTTGAAAATGATTACTGATCAGCTGGGGAGTTTACTGCAGTCCCTGTTGTACCAGCTACACTGTGGCTTCACTGGGAAGACAAGACACATATGGAGACTGTTCTATTCTAATGCCATGTAGCACTTGTAAGTAGAATCTGGCTTAGACCTGGTGGAATACAAAAACATTATTAAAAGCCTGTGTTGCAATGGAAAAGCAGAAGTCATACATTTGATGTCCTGTAAAAGTTTTTCAAGTACTTTGATGTTTTGTCCCTTTTGATCACAGATATTTTGACCTTTTAGTGATTCATCATGGAGTTCCACAATAACCAAATTAAAATAATAATTTGTCAACAGATGAGTGTTCCTTATACTGATCAACAGTGTGAAGTTTGCTTCATCATAAGACCCAAGAGTTTGTCTTATTTCCACAACAAGAACACCCATGTGATAGGTTGTACTTGTTGGATTACAAAACTTTATCAGCCCATCCTTGCAAAGAATATCAATTTACAAAGCTCGTATTCATGGCTTTCTGGAAACCCTGTGAATGCCATTTACATCAAACAAATTCTAGATCATAAAGGGTACAGAAAAGTAAAGCATTATATCATTTGCCTCTGTATGGCCAATACCTCACTGAGATGTTCTGAATCTTGCACAGTGCAGTTGCCTCCCAAAAACTTCCCAAGAATCCCCAGCACACCCTGCACAGCAGGTACATCATCACAGGAGCTGTGAGCTGAACAAAACCTGTGTAGGAGAGCAGTTACTCCCAAGAAGCAGCTCTGGCTCGCTCTGGGTGACTTCAGCAAAGGCTGTAAACAAGCACAAAAAGAACAGGGTGTTTCAGAAAAGTCATGAGAATGACCATGGTAACATACCACAGAAAAGAAACGTCTCAAAATATTTACATGCTAAAACACAATCTCAACAATGGTATTTTCAAACAGTCTGTAAAGGAAGTACATAAACAAACAACAAAAAGGACAACCCTGCAGAGGTATACTTGAAAATTCTTCCACATATGGGCTAAATTAGTGTCAGCATGGTACAGACCTCAGTTCTTTTCACAAGAAATCATGCCCTATGTGCTTAGGAAGGAGTGTGAAAACAAATCTAAATTATTTTTCAGGACCCTCCAAATAGTGAAACCCTCACCAGTAAAAAATTTCTCTAAGTTCCACTCTATACTTAATGAAAACCACTGACAGCTTAGTAAGTCCCAGGTAGTTTACCCATTTTTAGATGAAAATTAGTTTTTCTGTCTCATAAACCTGCTAATTCATAATTTCTGTGTGAAGAAAGCCTGTTACTGTTGAAAATCACACCACTGCAACCAGTACTTGTGAACCCCAAATTTTTTTAAAGTATCTGGGCTACAGATGCAAATCAGGCTCCTTCCTTATTTGCAAACCAGATTAAAATAGCTGGTAGTTTCACCACCAAAATTACCTGGACAGAGTTTTGTATATATCTATGAAAAAGACTATTATTGTAAAACACAAAAATTATGGGCCACTATGATTATGAGATCAATGACAAATTAAAGAGAAATTCTAATTAAGAAAGAAAACCCAACATCCACTCACAGCTAGAGATTCAATCATGCCTGAGGTGGGCTTAGGAATGAATGCAAATGACCAGAAGAAATATTCTACTTTGTCCTCCTCAACTTCTCCAGAGGCCACAAGTTCTTTCATTAGGACAACACATGCCTCTGTAGCACAAGATGGGAGAGCATCTATTAATGGTTGCCTGCAACAGAAGAAAAAAATACAGCAAATCTAAAAATGAACAAAATACTCAAGAATCAAATTTGCTCGAAACCAGCAGCACTGATTTCCCCCGAAGCCATGACTCAGGTTTCCTGTTCACTTTGCTTCTGAAACAGGAAGCCTGTCTGTGGGAACAGGCATGGGACAGGAAAGTCTATTTTGTACACAGCAGTCATTCAGTAAGGAGGGAATATCATCCCTCTGTTACAGAAACAAGATCTGCAGTACTAATTCTTCCTTTAAAATGTTCTGAATTTAAATCCAACACCAGACACATTTTGTGACTATTTCTTGAATGCAATTACTAAAGGAGCCTTACCAGTTGTCTCTGCACTTAAATGAAGATCTTTGCCATAGTGCTCTTAAGGCCTCAAGAGAAAGGTGTCGGAGCTCAAAGACGAGAGTCGTGAAAAGGCCTGCAGTCTGCAAGTGCACACAACCAGAAAGCAGCTTTAGAGAACAGAGCACAGCCAGGTTACACCAGCATTGCCACTGAGTGACAGTTTAACCTGAGAGCAAACCCTCTGTTCTTGCCTTTGTCCCTACATTCCTTCCCTCACTTGCTTTTCTGTCCAGACTGCAAGCATATACGGAGGGCTTTTACTTTGGATGTCAGTCAGTCCCTCAGTGACCACCATGCTCACCACTGGCATACAAATGAATAATAAACCCAAATGCAACACTGTGCATAATCTTCTCTGAGTTTGTGCAGCAAGATCCTGATTTATGGCCAGAACTGTTGACATGGCTTTAACACTAAATGAAACAACAGTCAGCCTAACTTTATGTTAGTCTCAGGTTTGTGTGAAAGATCATTTAGCTGAGGTTTGGACAACACTTAGAAGCTTGTTTTTCCTTCTATCTGCAGAATTGCTATAGTTCTAATTAATAAAAAAAAAAAAAAAAAAAGGAAAAAATTCCTCTGAAAGCATAAACATGATATTGTTTATACCCAATCAGGAAGTAGCTAGCAGTTAGAATGCCTTACTAGGAAAAAACAACAAACAAAACCCCAACAAACAAACAAACAAAACCCCAAAACAAAACAAAAACACAACAAAATAAAAAAACAAAAAACCAAAACAAAACAAAACACCACCACCTTATCATGCCCTTTTTTGGGTCAGACTGTGGTACAGGAGTGAAGCACAGCAAATCTGACATATTCTTGCCAGCCCTGCTTAATGCACACACAGCCACATTCACCAGAGTTACAGACCAAGCATCAAAACCCAGACAGCCAAATGGAAATTCAGCCTCCAGCAGAAGTGGTGTGATAGACTCCCCTCAAGCCTCTCTCAAGTGAGGGTCCCTTCTCCCCATCCCTTTTTCCATTCTTTGTCAGTATGCAGCTTGTTCACTTAATGGTCCATTAGCTAATCTACATCCACATTGAAATTCAATCTTGTTCCATAATAGCATTAAAAAATGAAACAACAAGTTTGCTTCCTTGGAAATGACAGTCTCCACTTCCATTTTCTCATCCCTTCACTGTTTTCCCTGGAGTTGGGGATTTTTCCCTTCCATTTATCCTTGGCTTTGTGTCCTGAAAGAAATGCATAATCTCACCTCATTCAGAGTCAAACAATAAGGGGACAAACAAGCTGTACACGCATAACAACGCAGCTGTCTCCCAAGCAACCTGTGGCCATTCCCATAACTTCTTTCCTGGCCCAAAGGACGTTTTATTGGTTGAAATGAGGGATAATAAAGATTCTCTTTGAAATGTCTTGTCACACAGAAGGAACACCCTGAAACAGTGGAAATGGTTCACAACCAATGGAACCCTGTGCTGGGACAGGCACATGATGAATAATTCACCTCTCTTTTAGGCAGTGGCACAGACAGCAGCCACTTGTGCTAATCCTAGTGATTTACAAAACAAATTTCCCACACATGGAGCCAGTAGGCCTCTTTGGAGGCAGAAGTGACATCCCACTGTTACTAGGAAAAATCGCCTACCATTCTTTCTGACACTGAATTATGGGTGAATTTAGAGAAAGTTTCTCAGATCCACTGTAGTAATTTCTTCTTTCAACATTTTCCAGGCAGTGTGTAGCCCTCTAGTCTGTGCCTAAACACCATTATATACTGCTGTCACACTGACAGACACCTAGAATTAACTATTACCATACCAAAAGAGGCTGCTTCCATTCTACCTTAGCAAGAACCAACATGTATATGGCTCTGTTAGCTCTCCATAGCCCCAGTCTCCACAGCAGGCAGCTGAAAGACATGGCAGACCTTCTTGTAACTCAGAAACAGAAACCTCTCCCATATTCCACCACCCAGGAAGGTCACCTGCTGCCTCCTCCTGAGCCCTGTGCCGGGGGCATTGTCAAGCAGTGGTACCAGGTTGGACTATGATCATCATTTAGTAGGTTGGGAATAACAACTGGGGCTTCAGTAACTGAGGCTGTGATTCCTTCTCCACCCTGTGCCTTCCCCTTAAGTCTCACATCACATACTTAGTGCCTGTATGTGCTTGTTAATCACAGCTAAAGCTGAGACAGGTGAATACACACAGTGTATTACTGCAGAGCTGTAATCCAGCAGTGAGCTTTTCTCCATTTCCATAAAACCTTTACTACATCTCCCAGTACCTGTGTCCAACCCCAGCAAAGAGACAGGCAGAGCTTCTGTTCCTTGACCTGGGACTTACTCTGCACAAAGGAAGGTGAAGTGCCTTCTATGCCAGGCCTGAAGCTTCCTGTTAACATCCCTTGTGCCTTACAGGAGATATGATGTTTTGACACCTCAGTTTGATTTACTGTTTATACAGGAAAACAACACTTTAAAGTATTTTATCTTTCTCTAATTCTACATTTTAAAAATGTCCAAAACAATGGATGACTTCAGTATTTCAAAATTGCTGCTCTCCTGGTCACCTCTTATCCACGTGGGAGAATTCTCAGACCACAAAGAGCCTCGAGGGAAACAGAGGCCGTGTATAAAAACTCACCTCGTAACTCGCACTGTGTGCTAAGCAAAGCTTCCACACCAGGTCAGCCACTTCCCTTCCTGTGACCTCCCTCTCCCTTTCTTCCCTTTCATAGAGAATGCTGGTCACGTACAGATCCTCGGAGTCCACTGGAAAGACATAAGGAAAAGTCAGAGATCTGCTGGTTGCTGGCCATTTGCTGTGGTTAACTCTCCATGCAGGGGGAAAGTTTCTCTCTGAGCCTTTATTTCTACCTCTTAGAGTCTCTCTAGTTCCAGTAAAGCCAAGGGATGAATAAGAATGCCTGAAGCCATCTTGCATTTAAGAACACAAGAGAATAAAATCTAAAGACAAGTGTGACCTGAGTGAGTCACAGAAATAAGACAAAGACACACATGAAAAAAGTCCTTCTTTCCATCAATATGTCTCTTAGAATGGCCCTGCTACATCACATTCATTGCCTTTTCCAATGTCATCTAATCACTCATCCCACACTTCAACCTCCCAAAAAATCAACAGGAGATCTGGGTGCCAAGAAAAATAAATGGCTTGGCTCTTAACCTCTTCCTGGGGAAGAATCTTGTCAGCTTATGTTGGCATAACTATAAACAAAAGGCATCCTGGAAATTTGGGGTTTCCTTTTAAAGAAAAAAACCCAACTATTTAGAAGCAGACAAAAAAAAAAAAACAAAATGTTTCTCAACATTTAGAGCTCAACTTTAAAATCTTTCCTCAGGTAAGTTGCCCGTTGTAAAATCATTCTCCTAAGGAAAAGCACACAGAGCAAAGAAGGAGCAAAGGTTAAAACAGTTCTCAGACATGACAGGTTGGTTCCATTAGGACTTACAATTAATTAGGTTCCATTTGTATAAAAATTTGGAACTGTCCACAGGCACAGGAAGGCTGATGCTCTGTGTACAAGGTACTAGGTATGTAAAATAGGCAAAAAGGAGTTGGCCATTAGAGAAAGTCACTTTTGGAGACCCACCCAGCTTTGTTATGGCAGGCCCCAGCTCTCAAAGAAGGGACAGCTCAGTCCAGCCTGTAAAAACATCCACTTCCAAATCACTTAATACATTGAAGGAAATACCACGTGCAAAGAGTTCTCACAGGCAAGACACAGTCCCAAGACCTTTCTAGGAAATAAATTTACTTTATTTTAGCAGAAACCTTTTTTGTGCAGTGTGTCTGCTTCCACCTGAAGCAGCTGCAGTGAGTTCTGTGTCTGTGTCTCTGTCCCGCCGCCCTCCTGAGGGAACAGCGTCACACGGTCGGACTCGGCACATTTGGCCTCTGCCAGGACTCCATCCTTAATGCTCTGAACACACTCCAGTTTGGAAGACAGGACCTGCTGCTCAGACTGGGAAGAACAGATACTTCAGGTAAAGTATTGATGACCTGTGTCATCCCCTCAGTCCTTTCCCTCCCAGCTTCACAGAGGATTCTGGTTCTGGGATAGTTGCAGTCCCTTGTCCAGACCTCTGACAGTGCTCCCCCTGGGGAGGTTCATGTGCTCTTTATTTTCAGTCTAGTTTTTCATCACTGAAAAGCAATTTCCACTAACTTTCAACATCAAATGGTCTCAATTCATTTCAGTTCACAAAGCCTCAGTGTTAAGCAGCTCTTTTTGGTCGGCAGAGTTGAAAAAAGAAAAAGGTTGGTAAATTATGACTAGGTAGTACAGTACAAGCAACAAGTAATACTCATCTAATAAATATGGCACAAGATACAAACATTGACTGTATTTGCTGTCAACAGTGGAAAGCTGCAAGTCTGGCTTTTAGAAAAGCTTCTATCTTTCCAAAGTTTTCTCAAAATAATAATCTTCTTTTCATAATTTGTTTTTTCTTATTCACATGTCTCTATTCCTCTCTTCCATGCTCTACTTTCAGTTTATCGCTATAACATATTTTAATGAGAGTTTAATCCAGGTACCTAAGGAACTATTGCATTTATACTGTAACGTTCATCAACTACAGTGCAAATTTGCATTAAAGCAAATTCTGTAAATAACAGGCATTTCAGGGAGATTTATATTCATAATTTCTTTGCTAAGGACTCAAGTTTGGGCAGACACTCTCCAAATAAGCAAAAAGGCATTGTGGAATGATCAGTGTCATTCCCCTGAAACTCACCGACACATGAGGAAGAACAATAGACTGCACAGAAGTAAAACCAGAATATCGATGGGAGCAGAGGTTTAAGTCCCTTGTCTTTACAAGAACGGGACCCTTTCGCTGGTACCTGGTTGGGCATATTCCCAGAACATCCACCTAGTAACAAACATACACTGTTGGATCACACATGCAATACAAGGAGGTATTGTGGGTTATTACAATTAATTTTAATAATTACTTTTTTGCAGTAACAGCAGAGATCTACAATCTCCCTGGCAGAACACTGGCTTTGCCACAAAAGCTGTGCAAAGGCAAATAATTTTAAAGACCTTGGTCAAACTTTACGTTAGCCAGGGCCTGCTGATCTGTTTACCCTCCCTGTGTTATTCTCAATCAGATCATTTACAGATGTATGCTTTTTCAGTTAAGGTTTTGTGGGTGTACAGGGAAGCATTTACTTCAGAAGAGCATTACTAAGCAGAATAAGTTTAATTACATATGGGTGTCCCAAGCCTTACAGCAGAAAATCCCTTTAAGCACTGACATCAGCAATAGCAGGAGAATGAGGCAGTGCACATCATGCTGAAGGTCAATGTAGAAACAGCTCCTCACAACAGAACCACAGCCCTTGAGGTATCTCAGCTGCACTCGTGCAAACACCCAGGTGAGAGCAGCTTAGGCTGGGCTATTGTTTCAGTCTAACCCAGCAGAACTTGAGCTTAAGCACTAAAATAATTGCAAAGAACTCTGAGAAGCCAGATCATAAAGCCTACTGAAATGGATGAAAAAAAGAAAGGAGGAATAACCATGAATAATGAAATACTGTATTTTTACCAGAGAACAGGTAAAGCCCTGGTGTTACAGCTCTGGTAACCAAGCAGTGGATTCCAACCTCAACGAGAATGAGAATTTATAATATTGACTACAAAAAGCAATTAGATGATTGCCACTGTCTGATGAACCAAGTGGAAAAAACCTTTATTTATTCACAAAGGGAATAGACTGAACATGTCCAAGGGCTGCCAGTGACCTCAGAGCATGACTGCAGTGACAGTCTCACCTCCTCAACGACGGCACCAGCAGCGGGTGCTTGTGCTGTCTGCAGGACACTGAGAATGCCTCGCTTTATGTTCAGTGCCCAGGTCTGCTCACTCCTCGCTGGGCAGAGCTTCAGAACTTTCCCATCATGGAAAGAAAAAGGAAGAGGATGCTGTTCTAGTACTCCCCTGCAATAAAACAGTTTATTGTTTCTTGCTTCAAACAGTGCAAGTCAGTCTATGACAGACTCAGGTTTCTCAACAGAGCTGTTGCTCCACAATGGATCTGTCTCACTCTGTATCCTCATTCTTTACAGCACGCCTCCACTCTTCATAAATTCACCCTGACCCTAGGAGTCCTTAAAAAACTCCTCATAAACCCCTAAAAATAAATCCTCTTGAGATAATCGCAGCATCCTTGACATAACTGTAACACCCAATAAAAGCAGCTCCTGGTGAATTCTTTACAAGTAAATGTAGTTAATGACAGTGATTCTTGTTCAATTTAAGAGAGAAGTTCCATTTTATAATTCAGGGTGCCTTTAGCACTGGAAGGCATGTGTGAATCGCCAAGTAACATTATGTCTCTTCAGGTGTTCTACACAAGAACAACTGCTTTCCAGTGACACCATTCCTTCCTGCTCTGTTAGGTGTTCATACTTGGACTTTATTCCAAATTTGTTCCCCCACCTCTGCTGTCAGTCAACTCCCTAATTGCTTTTGCTATCTCAGGTTGAGTACACAGCATTTTCTACATTTGCAAGAGATCACTTTTTAATATTGATTTTCACTCCTCATATAATGTACTTTAATCATACAATTTCCCCCTAAATGGGGAAAAACAAGCCATCCAAAGGAAGAATCCTACAGTAGCCCAATGGTCAGCTCCATATAGAGATAGACAGTTCACCTGCCCATTAATTGTGGAATTAACTGTTCATCTCATTAACTGGGTCACAGAGTAAGAGATAAACTTTTAATGCACCAACATCTGGATAAAGTCTTCCCAGAGGAAGAGACTGGGCACGTGGGATAAGGTTTTCTGAACTCCTAGGCAACTGTGGCTGCTTTTGCTACTATCTGTGGAAATTACATGCGTGTTCAGAGGACAAGCCAGACTACTGTATGTCCACAATAGGCTGAGGCAAATGCTAATAAGGTTTACTCGTCTGAATAATTATTTTCAATAGCCAAGCTTCACTGAATGCTTTCTTTGCTACCTCTATTTTTTGGCTTCTCTGCAAAGAACAAGACACAACTGCTCTTACAGCTATGAAAATCCTGCAAAAAACTTCACAGAAGATGTGCCTGTACTCTCAGTTGAACTCTGATACCACTGCCCACACTGGGGAACACAAAGTTCTTCCTGATGAATATAAAAAGCAATGCATTTACTCCAAGCTTGCTCTTTTTGACCCTTTGAATTGAGTCAATTAGCTCAGTTTTCAGTGTTGTTTAAAGGCTGAGAATCCAAGTGGCAGGACAAAGAGGAAGATTACAAGGCTGAGCTTAATCAGACAACAGAACTGCTTTTCTTTTGACAACACAAGGAGCGTCGGCTCTCTGGGAAAATGCCAGACCTCCACGGTTTGAAGAGATCTTTTTGTATAGACATCTAAACCAGAGACTATACCTTGGCAAGTCAACGAGAAACACACTGACATATGTTATGAGTGAGCTACTAAAACCAAGAACATAAAAGGAAGAAAATGAAATTAGACAAATAAATGCAGTTTAAATATCCTAGAAGGGAAAAAACCCAACGTTTTGCAGTGTGAGAATCTTCCAAATCAATGACTTCAGAAATGTGCTTCAAAACTCCAGAGTCTGTACAAGTAACACTACAGCCCAGAGAGCTGTGATCCATACATGCTGCTAACCAGCTAGAGGCCTGGTAATTTCTGCCCAGAATAATTGTAATAGTCTACTCTCCAATCGTTTTTATATACAAAGGGATGACAACTAGGTTTAAAAAACCCCCTGTTTGGACTAAATATCTCTCATTTTGCTGGTGGTGTGCGTATCTTGATCCTTGTTTAAAAAAAAAAAAAATCAAAAGAAATCCTGAAACTAAACATAGTATGAAACACAGTGAACAGACCAGTCAAGTTGCTCCTAAGCCATATAGCTTCAAAAAATCCCCAAATTACACCAGATTAAGTTTTCTACCTTAGACTGTCCACTTCCTTCAGAGACTCCTCTCTGGATGCAAAACTTTTCTTAATCTGTACGTCTTGCACCTAGGAGCAAAGATTATAGGCAATATATTTCATTGTCAAAAGGAACTTGTGTCACATCAGAGCAATGCTGCAGTTCTGAGATCCAGAACTGAACTGGCTTTTAATTACAAGAAAAACCAAGGTCTGAAATGTAGCAATAATCCCAAAGAAAGGTAAGGTTCCACATCAGCTCCTCCCAACCACTGGGATGATTTTGACAATACTTACTTTCAAAATCATCTGGCAATTCCCCAATACCTCGATGATCACTGTGCTCTCCAGAGAGATGCCACTGCTTTTGTGAATACTTCCCTGCAGGAATGTGCTGGTGACTGCTGAATACCTGTAGCTGTATCTAGCTCTTTTGGGGAAGTACCAGGTGCTGTGTCCTAGGAAATAACAAAAAACCACAAACAAACAACAATAACAACAAAGTGTGGTTTTTTTTAGTCTATTAGACTTCCCCCTTCCCCTATTTTTTCTTCTACCTTTTAATCTTTTTTAAACCCCAGAAAGATCTGGGTTTCTCCAAGCACCCTTCACACTGGCCATAGCTCCTGCACAGAAGATGAAAAGCCTTCCCCTCTCTCCTTTGCACAGAACCTCACAAACTCCTTCGAGGCAGGAAGGAAATTTCCAAGGGCAGAAAAGGGATAAAATTATGTTCTTCTGACACCTTTAAGAGAGTAGCAAGAGCCAGATGAAACAGATCTGCTGATGCATTGCTAGTGCTCTTCATGCCCATTGCTGGGTTTAGTCCTGCACTCGTTCAGTCCTTTGCTCAGCTCTAAAGTTTGGGAGGTTTCTGAGTGCACAAAATGTGAACCTCAGGCAAGTGTGGGCCTGGTAAAGCTTAGTGGAACTTCTCCTCTACCTCCATGAATGCTGATTCCTCAGACATAAGTATCATTCTTCTCAGAACACAACATCCCTATGGAAGGAGAGGAAATTCTCAATTCCCTCCTTTCTTATCACATAAAAGGCCTGAATACACTCTTGTTTTACTCACCTACACACTCTGCAAAGCAAGAAGCTCCATAACTTAAACTCTCTGAGGATCCTGCAATGACAGGTAAGAGAACAGAAAAGCACTGAAAAGGCATGTGCAGCTCAGCACAGAGCAGCTGCTTTTAAAGTTCAATGAAATTACCAAAAGCAAAGCATGGTCCTAAAAACAATAAATACATGAGAGTTTTTAGAACAAGTACACAGGGACAAGACTTAAATCTCACCCCATTCCACACATCTCTAAATCACAAGCACATACATGAAGGGATGACCTGCCTTAGTGTATTTATTGAAGCAGGCATGGAAATGCAACAATACAATGGCTACCAAGCAATTAAAAAAAAGAGTTTCTTAATCAAGAAAGAAATATGTATTTTACACACCCCTTTTCTTCTAAAAAATGGGAAAAGGCAGTGTTAAGTTAATGACTTTTAACAAAGAAACAGTACAACTTTTAAAGAACCTTAAAACAAATATGGTAAGGCAAACTTGGAAAATCAACTGTTTGATGCAGCATCGGGAGGCACCTGTGGATACCTGAATGCTGAGCTCAGAATTGTTAAACGTGCTCATCACAGAGCGTGGAAGGCTGAGCAGCCTGGACAATCAGGCACCTGATTAACTCTGTTGGGGTGCCTAAATTTAGGGTTTCTGCTCTTTGCTTTGTTCTTTTCAAATTTTAAATTTTCTTCCTTCGTTTATTTTGGTTCTGGAAACAGCCCACAATCTCCCTTCAACTGACAAGAGTAACAAAGGGCCACGCTACTGATAGTTCACAGTCTATTCACACTTCTCAGAATCCTTCATCTGCCAAATACCAAAGTGAGCACAATTTTAGGACACGAGACTGACATACTATTTGCAGGTGAGAATAATAAATTGACTGGCACAATCTCAGTGTTTCTGCTGCTTTCACTAAAATGCTGAAGGAAGAGACAGTAAGTAATTAACTGCCCCTTTCCAGGTAGAGCTCTCCCACCTGCCCAGTACCACCCAGACAGGTCAATAAAGCAAACTGCTACACCGTGCTGATAATCAAGACAAAGCTGCTACAAGAATTACTACAAACATACAAGTTGTAACATAATTTACAACATCTCAGAAGTTTTGCTAGCGAGATCATTCCTTAGCAGAAGTATTCTGCTTTGAGAGCAGAGGAAAAAGTTTCTTCTACTTACTCCCTGAAGCTCCTGCCACAACGGCACAGAGTAAAATGATGGCGTGCAACCCCATGGCCATGGAAAGCACCTCCTCTGACCAGAAGTTAACAAAAACACATCAGTTCTCCTCTCAAAGGCACCTCTGAGCAAGGCAGTGAAAGCAAATTTCCTTCACAAAGCAGGATCTCACTATTTCAACTCCCCTCTTGCAGCCAGAGGAGGGGCTCTGGTGGAGGGGAAGGGGCATATGTATAGCAAGGGGGAGAGACAGACACACACAAACAATGATCCCAAATTCAACAGCATTCCAGCCCTTTTGCAAAAGAAGAGAGAGAGGAGTTAACATATTAGAAATCCCACAAAACTGCAAGGAAAAGAGATTAAGTATATGGCATCACAGCAGAGCAAATGCTCTGCTCTCCAGTTTACCCTGAGCTACTGTTTACTGCAAACCAGATTCACAAGTAGAAATCACAGATAAAAATCCCGTACTATTCGTATTGAAACTTCTAAACTAGGAGTTAAATGCCTGAATTGCAGTTGACTCTTGAATGCACACTGAAGCCAAACCTCTAAGATAAAACATCAGTGTCCGGTGCACTTGACTGACTTCCCTCAAGTAGTGGTTGATAAGTGTGGGATGCAGCCCAAGACTCAAATAAAACTTTTTAAGCATTTTTGCTTCCTCCCCCCAAATGAAATTTTTCTAAGAACAAATATCAAAACAACTCCCCCAAAACAGGCTGACAAAGAACCTCCTGAAGAGGAATTTCCACCATGTCTCTGTCCTAGGTAATCTTAAAATACTGAAGACAATACTGGTGCGTGTGCTACAGACACACTTGTCTAATGGCACACAGGAGACCCAGGCTGGCTGTAAGTCTCAGAAAAGTATTCCTCTGTTCTAATGGATACTGTACTCAAGTTTGGAAAACGAATTTAATAAAAATCACCATCTGGCACACAACAGGGCAAGCCTGTCCAGGGACACCTGAAAACGGTGCACCAGTATTGCCAAAAAAATCTGACCTTTAACAAACTAGAAAAGTCTGTTCTGTAAAGGGAAATATTTTAAAGTGGGTATTATTGTAACACTGATGTTTAACCCCAACAGCCCAAAGCAGGAGGGAAGCGCCCTCGGAGACAGCTCCAAACTCGACCCCAGCGCACCCACCCGCGGGGCTTCGGCGGCTGCCGCCTTCCTGTGCCGGTGGAACAGCCTGTCCGGCGGCTTTGGCTGCTTACGGACCCAAAACGAGCCTGGAGCGACCTCCGGAGCCCCTCAGGGCACCGAGCCCTGCCCAGCGCTCCGGGAGCGCCGCATCTCCGGGAAAGCGCCCCAACACCGCCAGGGACCGGGAGGCACCGGCGCTTCCCAGGCCGCTTTCCCAGAGGAAATTAAATGGACCACCTCAAAGCCCCGAGGCTGGGGTCGCTCCCCGCGGCCGGGGCCGAAAAGGGTCGGCGAGGGCTGAGGGGAAACGGGGTGATGGGTCCGCACCTCCAGTCCTGTGTCCCGTTCTGGGCCCCTCTCCAAGAAGGACATGGAGCTGCTGCAGCGTGTCCAGAGCAAAGCAAAGGAGCTCCTCATCACACCTGATGAGGAGCAGCTGGGGGGGTCAGCCCAGGAAGGGCTGCGTGTTTAGAAAGGGAGGCTTCAGGGGAGACCTCCTGCTCTACAAGCTCCCCGAAAGGGTGGTCAGGCACTAGAACGGGCTGTCCAGGGAAGGGGTGGAATAGCCGTCCCTGGAAGCATTCGAAAGAAAATAGGCAGATGTGGTGCTTAGGGACACGGCTGAGTGTTGGAGCTGGCAGCGTTAGGGTAATGGTTGGGCTCGAGGATCTCAGAGGTCTTTTCCAACCTTCGAGATTCTGTGATTCTATTATCCTTCATGATTCTATCATTCTATTATTCTTCATGATTCTATCATTCTATTCCCCTAGAGAGAAAAAAATCTTCAGCACTACTTCATGAACAACAAAAACATTTTACGAGACGGGAGCCTGAGGTAACTTTGGTACAACTCGTTGCCAAGACACGGACCACTGGCCAGGATAAGGCGCTTCAGAGGCTGTGTGGAGCAAGCGCTGCAAACTGCTTGGGGTTTGTCTTTCCCCCTCCCTCCTGATGTTTTTGTGACCGCCCTGCAGGCACACCCAAATGCACCACGGCTTTAGGTCCCGGAGCAGTGCCTGTCACACACCCGTTAATGCAACAGTCCTCTGGAGGTCGCTGAAGCTGCTTTTTTGGGGGATGTTTTTGTTACAACGATCAAGCAGCCAACCACAAAAGGACTTAAAAACACTGCCTGCTCATTCTGAGTTTATTCTCGACACGGGCACAACTACTTTTAGCAATTCCAGACCACACAGCCACCTGTTCAGACAGACATTAGATTTTCAGACTGTTAAAATCAATTACAAGTGACAACAAGAAGCACTTCCTTTGAAATCAGTAGGTTTCACATGTACCTTTTGGTGTCCTGCTTTGAAAAAGTAATAAGATGCTCATTGGCAAATTTATTTCTATGCTGGATTCACACACAGTGTATCATACAGGAGGGTATTCCTCTCACAAAAATACATTAAAAGTCATCCTACACTGTATAAAATACAATTCACCTGAAATCTGAACACGTCACACCTTTGTCACAGGACTTTCACTTCTTAGTTTTTACTGGCAGGATGACAGTACTCACCTCTTCATAACAGCTGTTTAGTTATGAAGAATGATTAACTGGGTTTGAGTAGACAAATCACAATTCATTTCTTCAGAAAAGAACTTGTGGTTAGACTGCCAGAAGTGTTTTCACAAACACTGCAATAAATAGCAGCTTTTGGAAACCACACCGAACTTGCTAACAGCTCCCCCTGGTAAGGCTATCAACTGCTTTTTACTGGTTTTAACAGCTTTTATTTTGGACGACAAATCAAATTTAATTTCCTTCTGGCTCAAGCCTCATCAAAATTTTAACATTGTGCAAGATTCTATGAAAAATAGAAAAATAGAAATCCAATGGAAATAACACTGTAAGAGTGTAATAGAAAGCAGTGCCATCCTGGGAAACTAACGAAGGTGGGGGTAGGGGAAGGCTTCACCCAGATTTGCCAGACAGCCTATTCCCCTTCCTTACTTATTTGTGAAAATAGGATGAGCCCATAAAGTCAGCATGGCACTTCTGTATCTGCCAACAGAAGAAAAACCATTTGTTCACCACTTGCTTATTACCAAAATAACCACAAAGTTATTTAATAAATACCAATGCATTAGAACAAAACTGTGTGAGGTATTAACATCACCTTCCTGTATTTTCTGCACCTCAAAAAATGTGCTTCAGACGTTAAAAAAACCCCAGGGTATTCTTACCTGATTAACAGGGATTCTTTCCAACTGAATACAGTGATATTTGGTATCTATTTTCTCTCCACTGGTTACTGGTATGTGAACATGGAGCCATATTTATGTGTGTTTGTTTAGTTGTATTGCAGGTGAAAGTCCTACGCAGAAGTGTTTTAACTGAAAAGCTATTTAATGAGCCTGAGTTGCAGGAAAACAACACATTTTCCATGTGGCTCTGTGTGTGACAGCTGGTCTGCAGGGCAGAGAATGCCATTCATCAGAGACTTGGCCCAGGTGACACTGAAAAATTTCTCCCTGTAATAACATTTCAGCTCTCCATATGTTTGGACACATTCCAAACGTTACAATTTTCCAATTACAACCACTAGATAGGAAAGACAAAGTTTTTATTTTAAAAAGAGTCAGTTAAAAAAAAAACACAAACCAAACCCAAACAATAATTTCAACATAATAAACACAAAGTGCTTTCACACAAGGCAAGTTATATCCTGCATTTGTTTTTCCAAGATAAGTTTAACAAAGTGGTGCATTCTGTAGATAATTCCATACACAAGAGAACAAACACAGGCTTTGCCTTAAAGGAAATTTAAGTACAGAAGGGGCAGCAGAAAGTTTTGCAGAATGCTGAACTAGACTGAAGAGCTGCCAACATTGTATGTCCTACTCTCAATCCATAAAATGAACTTAAAGAGAAGCAATGGACTGAGCACATAAAACAAAGGAAACACTTTTGTTTTGGTCAGTGTTCCATATTCTGGTGCCACCACCTCAGATTTTCCAACCATCACTCTAGAGAGAAAAGGGGAGTTAAGAGAATAACAACTGGAAAACTTACTCACCAAATTAATGTATGGGAGGATTACCCAGGCCAGACTGACTAACAGAACTAAAAATCCTCCCCACCATGCAAGCAAATACCAAGTTTGGGAACTCTGCAATCTTTCTTGCTTCCTCCTGCCTTGCCCTGATGATAAACTGATGAGTAAGTAGCACATGTTCTGTGACACCCCCTGGGGTTGTGCTGCTTTCCAGTAACACTCTTATGTCTTGCTGATGTCACCAGAACAGAAAATCATCCAGGCCCTTCAAGAACACAGAGAGCACTTGGTGGAGCACCAGCAGACAAAAGCTACGTGCTGGTACTGCAACATCAACGTGGAAAGCTACAAAACTACCAGCTCTATCTCCATCATTCTCTTGACAGTAGCAGCTACTGATGTAAATTCTTATGGTATGGGGAGACCAGAAACCTTTTCCAAATGCACAAGGAAGCTCTTAAACCACTTGCAGACTGACTCACAAGCAGCAGCAGTTTACAAAACCTAATTAACAGGAGGCCTAGAGGCTCTATGTGATCTACAAAATTACTGGATTTCAAACCTGAAGTGTTGAAAGACTTTTGCAAAACTAACTTATAGCAGCTATTTACAAAAGGCACATTTGGCAAGAACAGTAAATGCAGTATTTTTTATTTGTATTTATTTTAGCTTTTCATTTTTACAGAGGATAACACAGTGTTGCCATCATAGCCTTGTTTAAACACCTGTCTGCCTTTTCTGGACAGGTATCATTCCAATGCATCGAGGCTGCTGCTTATGACACAGAAATTACTTCAACCTTCAGAGCCTCATTCCCTAATTTTTTGTGATCATTGTCTTAAATAAGCATATCCGAAAACAAAATTTAGCTTTTATTTCATTTGAAAAAAATCATAGTACAAGTCAGAGAAACTCCTTAACAAACACTTTGCCTTCTTAATAAAGAAATAGTAATTAACAAGCAGATCAACAATTAGAAGCCCAGGTCCTTTATCTATGTTTTTCAGGCAGAATTCAAGCCTTAAGAAAAGGCTGAGGCTTGTGCATGATCTATCAGCTGAGTTATATAAATATACAAGGAACTTTTCCAATGCTGTAACCAAGGCTCTCTGGGCTGAAGAGAACACTTCACAGATTTGCAGTCAGCAGTGAAAAAAACTCCAGCCAAACACTGGACAAGTATCTATTAAAAATTCCTGTGTGAACACCTTCACTGCAGATTAGAGACTTGAAATTGGCAAGAAAATTCAGATACTGGATTCAATCACCACTGATGCACAATAACCTGAGTTGTCCTTTTGGTAAAGCAACCTCCAGGAAGGAAAAAGCCTTTAGGTTTGGTTCTCTTCCAAGTTTTAAAGTGAATTCTAGTGCTCACGAAAAGATGCCAACAAATCATTTCTTTTGTCAAAGAAGGGCACCTGTCTCTGAGGCAACTCCCTGCCAGTTTGTAAACAGTGCTGTTGCCAAAGCACTGACACCAAGCATGAGCCTAAAGAGTTCTCCACAGGCATCCTCCTCTCGGTCTGTGCTGAGACTGCAGCAAGCACAACTTGCAACATGATTGAGATAAGATTAACTGCAGAACATCACCAACCTGTTTTGCATAAAGCAAAAAGGGACACATTCCATTGCTCTCAGCTGCTGCTGCACTGAGTGGCCCATACAGATTATGTAGATTTTTTACAGTGAAAATCCCCTCAGGCAAATTTGTATTCAAACAACCTAGCAAGAAACATTACTTTTTATTGGTTTCCAGGGACAAGATGCACAGAAACGAGCAGTCTCCATGAAGCTTCAGAGAGGGCTGGCAGAGGTGCTAACCAGCTTCATCAATCAATGTTTAGACACTGCCTAGAAACGTTTGTAACAACCAAGAAGAGTATTGCAGTTTGGACAGGTGTGATCCACATCCTTGAGGGCGTTAATGCAGAAGGGGAACAAGCAGCAGCCTCCTATACACCTGCACAGGGAAAAAAGGAGGAAAACACTGTTTTACCACTTGTTCCATACAAAAAAAGTTAAAATATATTTCCTGTGAAATCCATCAATAAAACTGGAGCCATGAAGCTTTAAGAAGAACACACATGGCTCTGGAGCCTGTAGTGTTCCAGAGCTGCTTTAAGGTCCTACAGGACATAAATTCAGATGTAAGCTATTTGAACTGCAAAGGTTCAGGGCTCAGGCCTCAGACAGAAAGAGAAAGCAAAGCTGAGAGCTCTGCTACTCTTTAGAACTATAAAAGGTCAGGAAAGAAGTAAAAAAAGGGGAAACTGGAATTGACCTACCCCAGCAGGCAGAGGCCACCACACGACAGCCAAGTCAAAGCTCCTGCCTCGTAGGAGAGACGAGTCACTATCATCTGGTTACAGGAAGGGCAGCACATCTGAACTGGGTGGTCATAAAACACCACTGGTTGCTGCACATACACCGTCTGAACTCTAACTGGGCAGAGAAATATGCTGTTTAATCAGTGAGCAAATAAGGAAAAAGAATAGTAAGCAACTTCCACTGAGCCAGAACCAGCTATAACTTTGAAATATCAGGGGCTCAGAGCAACGAGATAAATACACAGTAACAAAGAGAAACCCCCGTGGAATTTCCTAATGCAGAAATACATTGTCTTTAGAATAAGAGTGCACTCAAAACTGCAGAAAGCCAAATGATGGTATTGATATTAGTGCACACTGAAGGATTCACAAGAATTGGTTCACGTCATTCCCTTCAACAGTATTTTTTGAAGGTGGTGAACACCTGTGAACCAGACCTTTCATCTTCTGACAGCACCTGTCACACAGCCACTTGACACCTCCTTAGCATGAGGTACAGAAGAGTTTTTGAGGCTTACTGGGGTTGTTTGCTGGTGCAGCCTGTCCCATGTATGGGGGAGGGTTCATTCCCTTCATATCTGGCTTCTCTCCAGGGCCGGGAACAGGATAGGGCTGAGGGTAGTTCATATTGATTCCTACAGTTTCCTCGTAAGAAGGTGGTGCAGATGGGGCAGGGTTGCCACTCGGAGCAGACATGGTATCTAAAACATAAGAGAGAAAATTGTAACAAAAGACATTATTTATTAAGCCTAACAATTAGGCTCAATTCAGAAGCAAGAAAATAACTAGATTAAAATGGACTTTAAACAACATAAAGTCTATTGACTGATATTTGTTTCTGATAGCATTAAATGTTGATCTTGGTTTCTTTGTTGTTGTGGTCTACTTCCCACTTCCTTCTCACAGGGCAGTAAATACCAGTTCTCCCATTCTAAGTTAAAAATGTTAAAATGGTGATGTGGGGCATCTTTATTAGTATACTAATCTATCTGGCAGTCTCCCAATTCTCCAAGAACAGTATTTCTGATCCCTCTTGTTCACCTGAAAAATCAAACAGTATGATAGGCCACGTGGTTGTTGCTAGCCAACATGAGCCTGAGTGCTTGTAGTGAAGCTCAAATATTTAAAAAACAGTATTTATCTCTGCTGTGATTTGAAATGAAAAATATTTACACTGAAGGAAAAAGAAACCCAAACAAGTATGTCCAACTTGACTCAGAGCTTTTATGACCCTCAAGTATATCTAAGGTTGCCATTTTTGCTGCTTAGCAAAGTTTTAATGAGTTTGTAATGCAACTCCCCTCCACCACTTGTTAATTCATTCCAGAGAATAAGAATGCTGACCATCGCTTTTTCCCAAAATGGAAAGAAATAATTGTGGTTTCAATGCAAACTTCCTCTCCTCCTCCCCACCTACCCACTTCCTATACTCTGCCCCCATTTTCTGTGGAACATCAGTGCTGACTTCTCCCTTTTTCTCCTCCTAAGGACCATCAGACAGCTCTCCAAGAGCCACGCTCCACTCAGTCGTTGCACAATCACTCTGTGTTCCTGTAAATCTTTCAGTCAGTGCTATGTGGGGAGGGCAACCTGTATTTGGAATATATGCACATACTGGAAAAACACTGACGGGGACAAAGCCCCCCTCCAGTCCATTCCTCTCTACAGAGTTCTTCTGCTCTGCAGACAGAACCAAGCTGGCCTAAAGGGAGGGAAAAGGTACAGCATTCAGGAACCATTCTGCTGAAATGAAAGCAGTCTAGTTACTTATGCTGGCTGCAGAGACCAGAAGACAAGCAACAGATCCGGCTTCCTTCTGATTCTCCACCCCACCAGGAGGGTAGTGAGCAGTTGCGTGGTACTGAGCTGCAGGATGGGGTTAAACCACAACATAAAGCAAGGACAAGAAAATAAAGCAAGTCTGTATCTGGCTACCCAAGTGATGAACGAGGTGGCAGTATCATCAACAAAGCATGCTTTTTGTAAGAGCATAACAACTGGTTATTTTCTTAGATTTCTTAGCAGCTTTCATTATTTCAGGGACTTTTATTGAATGGTGTGTTTGGGGGGTGAAAAGAAACAAGACATATGTAAATTCGGTTATTCATGTTTGTGTACAAGAGAGCAGATCTCAAGCAGGGACATCCTGGCTTCTGCCCAGGACGAACACAGTGCTGACAACTCCTGCTGGGGGCACAGCAGAGGAGCTGGCAGGAGAAATGGGGCCAGAGGAAGGCTGTCAAACAGCCCAGCATGTGTGGGACTTCAGCTGAGCAAGGGAGCAGACACTGCTGAGAACAAAACCAGAAGATCCACGTGGCTGCCAGGAGCACAAGAGACAAGCCACTGTCTCCCTGCCACTGCCATCCAACCCCAAGAGCTCACAGCTTGTCTCAGACACTCCTGCCAGGCTCTGTACTCCTGCTGCTCTATTCCCAGCCCAACCACCTTCTCCTGGATATAGCATCCTTCACATACTCCCACTGCCCAAGCTTATTCCGAGAAGCAGGAAATTTGAAATCCTCAGTTTGAAGGACATCACCTTAGCAGGCCTCAAGGTGGTACAGAGCACAGCACAGCCCACACTTGGCAGGGAGAGAAATAAGGGGGGGGGGGGAAGTCTCAGGCACTAAGAAAATTTACTTGGATTGTTGCACTTTTGTTACACACAACACGAAGCTGCTGCCCACAGATGACTCTGGTACCTCATCTCTCAGTCCAAGAAAACACCCACTAGGAATACCAGCAGAATCTGTAGGCAACACACACAAGGGCACAGAACAGATTAGTTGGAAGGAAACAGAAACTACATCTAGGGAGTTTTTACCAGAGGCAAACAAAAGGAATAGTAAACAAGCCAGAGAATAATGCAGAATTTCCCCATCAGGACCATAGCGGGCTCTAAATAATTCCATAACAAAAACAAAAGTAGAAAACACACTTCAGAATGAAAAGGTGTAACAGTGAATGTAAAGGTGAATACAAAGCCCAAGGGCCCTGAACAACCTCACCTAAGTATGTCCTAAGCAGGTGGCTGATCCTAATGACCTTTGCCCAACCTAAATTACTCTGTAATAATCCAGAAGACAGAAGTTAGTTTATTCTTCCTAGAAGAAGGTTACAAAACCCCAGTTCTGATTGTATCCAAGAACTAAAGACTAAATACTAAGTTATCACAAAACTGAATGCAAAAGATACCACTCATGATGGAAACCAAACAAGTTCATTTGCTTTAATGAATTCTTCACTGAGGACAATCCTCCAGAAAACTGCCACTTATTGGACTGCCTCCACTGCTGCCAGCTTGGTTCAGGTCACAGAAGCACTAATTCATCTCAAGTACAGACTGGCAGCAGCAATAGGAACTGTATGACTATTCAATATTCCCACTGCCCCAAATATTGTTGTACACCTTGTGCAATGCAGATTCTGGATCAGTATCAACAGCAAGCTGCATTTTATTCATGCTCATGATTTTTTTTCCCCTTACCTCACAAGACGTAATGTAAATACATCTATTTGAGAACATATGAATTTCTGACCATTACAAGACAAGCTTGATTTTCTTGAATTTTTGTGAGATGCTCTAGAAACTCCCATCTATCACTGCTCCAAATGTTGCAGTAAGTTTTAGCCTTAACTCATCCCCTCAGATGGTCTGACTGTCCACGCTGCATCCTCACCTATCATGTCTGTACCTGCCCATGTGGACACTGCTGCCCTCCAGGATCAGCTGTCTTTTCCTTTCCACACTCCACCCGGGAATAATGAACTCTGACCCCACCAGCTGAGCATAAGCAGAGTTCAGCTATGCAGCCAATCACCCTCAGTGCCTCATCAGCCCTGTGAGTCAATTCCTCTGATGAGTCAGCAGCCAGTCCTTATCCCCCTTATCGTATGTACCACCTGTCCACACACCAAAAAGAAAAAAAAAGTAATCTAAAATTCTTGGTGGCTCCTCCTCTGATAGCTATTTATTCAGCTTTTCCTCATGCATCATCCAAAAATCTCCCCCTTAGATCTTCAACTACAAGGATAAGGCTCTATGGACACACATCTCCAGACTGCAAACCTCAAAAAAAGCGCAAGTGTTATTTCTAAGCAACAAAACCAAATCCATTTGCAATCCATCTGCTCTTTTCCAACCAAGCCCATTCCTGTACACATTTCCATGGTCATTCTTCAAAGTTTTCAAAACAGGCTCCAGGGAGCAACTCTTAATTTTACACTTTCGCTGACCACGCTTCTCAAGTCAAAAAGCCCTTTCAACCTACAGAGAACTTCACAGGGACAACAGACAATGTGCAAAGAAAAAGAATTTCAGTCTTAAGCATCCAGTTAGGGCTGGAGTCACTCCATGCAGGCTTCCCAACAATGACACAGCCTTTCTGCTTTCTTGGAGCATGGAAAAAGTCTCTGGAATATCAGCGATTGCCTTCCTTACACAGCACGGCTTTCATCGGGATTTCAGTGACGTCTATAAATGCTTCTATAAAGAACTTGTCACAAGTTTGTTCACTCTTCCAGGCCACACAGGGCTAATCTGCTGCACTGGAGGCGTGGTGATACATCAGCAAACACCAGTGTTTATACATTTCAACAGTCCAACAGTCTTCCCGGTAGACTAAGCGGAAATGTGAAAAGGTTTGTTAGAAAGGGAACTGTGTACTCAGTCCAGTGCGGGTTTTACAGTAGTCAGGACAAAGTAAGCAACCAGGAGCTGGTGCAGAGGGACAGACGTGGCTACGTGCACACTGTGTAGGCAGGGACAGTAATTTGGTAACCCTGGGGACAGGCACTGCTCCTTCCCACCATTCTCACACTCACACTGCAGCTTTGGCAGACTGACAAGGGAACAAGAGAGCAGTCAAAGATGTCTAAGCTGAGTAAGTTTAAGTGACAGTTTTTGTATTATCAAGTATCCCACAGCTATACTTTTAAAAACCACTGACCTTCTGTTTTCTTTAGAAAAGTTTTCCCCTTGTGACTAAACTACAGAGCTGAATCAGGATCTACTACCCCCAGTCACGATGTGCTGGGTTAGGCTGTGGGTGCACCAGAAGCTGGGACAGCTGACCCCAGCTGGGATATTCCAGACCATACAGCATCACACTCAGCAATAAATCGAGGAAGAAGGTGGTTAGGAGGGAAATGCTGCTCGGGGACTGGCTGGGCATTGGTTGGCTGGTGGTGAGTAATTGTTCTCATTTGCATCACTTGCTGGGTTTTATTTCCGTCTGTTATTTTCCTTTTCACTACAACTTTTAAATTATTATTTTTATTGTTATTTTATTTCAATTATGAAACAGTTCTTATCTTAACCCATGAGGTTTCTCACTTTTAGCCTTGCAGTTCTCTTCAGCCTGCCCTCTGACAGGGCAGTGAGGGAACAGCTGCTGGTGCTCAATTGCCAGGCGGGGTCAAACCACAACACAGCTACTTTTGCTGTGCAGACACTGCTCGACCAAAGACCATCCTCAGCTCTGCGTCACTGAAGGGCGAGTTCTAAGAGATCAACACCCTTTCACAGATTTCAAAATGATCATGATCATAACTTCCAGCATGAACACTTCTAGTCTCGACATTTAACAGTCAATAGTTATTTTTAAATTTTGTTACATGTTCATTTCTTACCACTGGCTGCTTCTGAACAACTGTTTCTAATTAAAAATGACTGCTGTGCTTTTTCTGCACTTTCACTTTTTTTTTTTTCCCCCCCTTTCCTGAAGACAGATGCAAATAGGCCTCAGGTCTTCACAGCACTTTGTGGCATCCCTGGCATGGCAACAACCTCCCCCGTGCCTGCCTTTTTTTAAAGTTTCAAATCTGTAGTACATATAACATTTACAAAGTACTACAGTGAACAGTATAAAGCTAAAAGCACATGTGAATCCCTTTAAGTTATCTACCAAAACAAAATTCCTAATAAAGATCAAGATGACACCAGGACTACAAAAAATCTCTTCAAAATACTGAGTATTGTGAAGGTAACCACAACTTCAGCTTTTCAACTTCATTTTTCTAATGTCCCTTCTGCTTTAAATGTGAACCGAGAGACAGAACTATCACTTCATCCAGCCAGTGCAAGCCTCTGTCTCACAGTCCGGGTCACTACTTGGATATGAGGCTGGGGACAAGACAAAAAGAAGGTAATAGCTCACCTCTCTGCTTGGTATGCAAAAAACAAACCAAGCAACCAACAACCCACCCAGTAAAGAATTGCTTACAAATACAGCTTTCCTAACCCAGTTTAGCCAAACAAATCTGTTGTTGCCCTTCCCATAATCTCTTGCTAAAACTTAACACAACTTAATCCTTAAACAATTTCTATACAGTCCTCTTCACTAGAAAATCCAAGTTGCCCTCCAACACCACGGGTACTTAGAGGGGCTCCCTGCACAGCAGAGTTTAAGACAGCTATTGATCAGCACCTGGAACGAAACAGGTTGAAGCGAATTTTCTTTAACAATCGGGCAAGATACACAGGTTTATGGGAGCACTGGGGACTTTGGAAGTGCACAGCAGCAAGCCCTAACACAGCACTCACTTGGGCCACCACCCCAGTTATCTGAACTCTGGACAACTTCCTAGTTTACCAGCCTGCTGAGAAACATTATCTTAAAGTCGTTTAAACTTCTCAGGCTTTTTTGAGAGAATAAAATTCAGTAACAATTACCAAAAAAAAAGCAAGACTTTAACTTACTACAATTTTAGTAAGACAAACAATGGCACTGAGGTCACATGGAATTTTATACTGGTAAAGCAGAAATAGCACCACACGCTGTGCTGCCCCCGTAAACAACCAAGTAACCAACAGTCTCAGAATAATCCTGCGAGCGGCTTCAGCCCGGGTGCTGGGGGGCCGCTCACCCCCTCCCCGGGGCAGGGCACGGCCCGTCCCAAATGAGCCGCTCCCGAGCACATTCCCTGGGGAAAAGGGGCCGTTCCGCTGCCGCCCCAAGCACTCGGGAAAGCGAAACTCTCCGGCCCCGAGCCCGCTCCCCCCCGGGCAGGAGCCACGGCCCGCGGCCTCCTGCGCTGTGCGGACCGTGCCGGGGCCGCCCGGGTCTCCGCTGCGCCCAAGCCCCAACCAGCCCGCGGTGCCCGAGAGCCGGGGCCGGGAGCAACACCCCCTACCCTACCCTACCCTACCCTTCCCTGCCCGGCTCCGGGCACAGCCCTCACCGCTCCGGGCCGTGCCCGCCGACCCTCCGCTGCTCTGCTCGCCGCTCCGCTCCGCTCCGCTCGCCGGGTGCACCCCCGTCAGCAGGGCTTGGCTTGTCCCGTCCCGTCCCGTCCCGTCCCCACCCGCGGTTCCTCCTCCCCTTCCCCCGGCTATCAGAGGGAGCCGCCTCGCCCGAGCGCTCCGCGGACCCACCGGCACCGGGAGCGGCCCGTCTGGGAGCGGGAAAGGGGAAACTGGGTGGAAGAACAGTCACTCCTGACGCACTTGGCAGCCCCCGGGGCCGGGAACTCCGCGGCGCTTGCCAAGAGTTCGCTCGCAGATTGACGAACCAGCGATCAACTTTCCAGGCTCCGTGTTCTGTAACACTTGAGGAAGAAAACCCTCCCCTAATTCTACACTGCCCCGTAGGTTACCAAATCGGTTATTTCAGACAACGTGCAAGAGCACATAGAATGATCAACAAAATCTTCGACAGATTCAGTGATTTTAGCTAGTGTTTTTACAAGCAATGAAGTGGGATGCAGTCTTTGGAATACATGGAGTATGTCACTCCTTCCTCTAGACAGCTCCAAGATAACACCAAAAGTGAATTACTGGCCAAACCCCTGAAAGGGATTCAACAGGGATCGCTTCTTATGCTGTAGTTTGGGTTAATCTACCTCAGACTGAAGGGAGTCAATGACCCCTGTGGGCTCAGCAAGGACTGTGCATTAGGCCTTTTGGCTGAAAGCATCTAAAATTGGTTTAAGTCCTACTTTCATATTTAAATCCTTTCTTGGATCTCAAGTAACATAAATAAAGTTTCAATTCAAACCCATCCTGGAGCAAGTAGTCAGGTTTTATAGGACAAAAGGGGCTCTTCCCCCAGTGACTGTGAGCCCACCATGAAGCTCTGTGGTCACAGTAATTACTGAATCACCTGGTGCTTGTGGATGTCATCGGTGTTGGAGTATTGAGGGCATGAATGCTCCCATTCCCTGACTTGGGGGAGACAGGGAGAAGGTGTGGACTGTGATTCAGCAGCATTCAGTGAGACTAGAACTAGACACAGAGGTGAATAAATTTACATCATTTTCAAGAAATCACATTATATGTTATTTTTCTCAGGAGCAGAACATGAGTAATTTTGGCTTTGGTGCCCTGGATTAACTAAAATTGGAATAATTGTTCTCTTAGTAACTAAGTCCCCTTTTCAAGGTGGCTATGAGCAGCTTAGAAGCCACAGGAGAGGGAGGCCATGACTGAACACATCTCCCAGGGTGAAACAAGGCATGACCTTCAACTGGAAGCCTTCTTACTTCAATTGCTGTGCTCTCTCCTGTGTTTCCTCTTGCATCTAATCAGAGGCTGCTCGTGATCCTCCTTGGGGACCCCAGCAACATTTCTCCTTTTTGCCCTACCACTGTTTCCATCCAATGTCCAAATACAGCAGGTGGTCGGCATCCACGTACCAGTACAGGAGTGCATTTCCCCTCACTAATCGCCCTCCTTCCCACCCAGCTCACCATTCTCCAGTTCCTGCCTTTCCAGCCATTTTGCTGGATGGCACTGGGCAAAAGAGGAATCGCTTTTAGTCAGTGGTTGGCCAGGTCAGCCCAGGATCTGGGAGCTTGCTGCAAATGGCACAGAGATCACAGTTAACAGAACGTTATGTAATGGTCGATGGAACTTTGACAGTTCAGTAACAAGTCAAGTCAGCCCAGTCCACTTTAGGGGCTCTGTGGCTGCCCAAAGTAACAAATTGTAACACTTTTCTGAAGGAGAGATATATATATATATATATCCTGGCTAATAAATACGGGTACCATCTTGAGCCAACCGTGGGGGTTAGGCAGAGTTTCCCTCTGTGCGTTGACAGCTGTAATAAAGTAATACCTGCTTCTTAATACTGCAGTGGTGTTAAGGAGTTTCATTCCCAATTTTTTTGGGCAAGCTTGTGGAAAATTGGCAGGTTTGTTATGGAGAATTGATGGGGCTGAGTTGAGCCATTTGCTTATCTTACACCTTACTCGAGTGAGGCTTCAACACTGCAGGGTGTCTGGGGTGAAGGGTAGGGCAGTTTCTTCAATAAAACAGCACAATTTGTGAATCTGTGATTGCGAATGTTCTTATTAAACACAACCAGACTTACAAGGCTAAATTGGTAATAATCAGAAATTAAGCCCAGCTGCTTCCAGCCCCTCTGATCTCCAACGCAAGGGGGGTTATTTTCTGCCAGATTTCAGACTGATGGAACAGAGCTGCAGCCTGCCAGCCTGCCTAGGGTAGGCAGGGTGCTCCCCCAGCAAACCAGCACAGCTCCCCAAAGCTGCTGCCCGAGCAGTGGAACCCACGGGAGGTCTCTTCCTGAAGCAGACCAGGTGACTGGTGGGGACATGGCCTGCATGTGGAAACCCAGCTAGAAACTGCTCCATCTTATTTACCTCTCCCCCTGCCCCCGTGAGCTGTGTACCTGAAGATTATAAACACTACTTGCTTTTAAAAAAATCATAAGAAAGGTCACACGGCAATTTGGGAAGCTTGAAGTGTGAGTGCAGTACGAGGTAACCACGAGAGCTCTGCTGCATCACCAGTCCTGTGGCAGGATGTGCTGGGCAGCCCCACCTGCTCCGTTCACTGTTACACCTCTCTGTGCTCTCCTGAGTCATCACCGGGGCTGCCAAGAGCACCAGGGAAAGGGAAACGTACACAGAATACAGTGTATGTTTGGTCATCACACTAATTGCACATTCTGTATTACAGAACACCAGCAGATGTCAGTTTAGCCCCAAAAATGAATGCTGGATTTATTACCTTTTGCTCCTACAGCAGTAACTTTCCACCAAAGCAGCTAAATTAAATTCAGAAGTTGATGTACATTTGACAGCGTGGTAGTCATATTTTCCATACTGTAATATGCCCTTAATGTGTAAAGTAAGTAAACTTAAATGTCACCTTATTTTTCTCCTGCCTGAAAATCGTAGGATTTGCACACATACAAATCAATCTTTTTTCAAGTGTGTGTCATTTTGCATATACTGATGTGTTGAAGCTAGAAAAGAATTTCTGTGAGTTTTGATCATTTCAGCAATATTAGATATTTACAGAGTGTTGTGCCAGAATGCAGTTTCAGACCAGTAATCATCGTACTGATACGGATTTACAGAGAAAGCAAGATAGGTACATTATGCCAAATAAGCTAAAGGAATATTTGTTTTTTCCCCACTGTTGCAATGGCTGATTCAAGTTGCTAAGCAAACAGAACAAGAACTTCAACACAATTTGAACAGTTAGTATGATGTCACGAGCATTGAGGCTCACACAACAGACCTCAAAGATGAAAACAAGATCCCACACTTCAGTGTGAAGTGCATGTTCACAGTGCTGAGATGTCCTCCAAGCACTGGTGCTGCTGGTGCAGGATAATTCATTTCAAATTCTGCATAGTCTTCTCCAAGCCTGTTGAGCAGAGGAGCAATAGCTAAAAGAATCACTTGAGCTTCAAGGTTTTGTTGAGCTCAGGGTTTAAGTGTTTCATCAGCTTCCAGACCCACTCTACAGTAGCTTCAGCACTTTGATTGTACTGTCAGACAGTACAGTTTTATTCTCTATGCTACTTTTAAGTGAGTGCACATAAAAGCATCTGCAGTAATTAAAAATAAGCACAGCCATAATATACTTCCTCTCACATACTATTACTGCAAAACTCCTGATCACAAAATACTTCAGAGCTAACAACCCAGTAATTAACAGCTTGCAGAGGCAGGCCTAGGTAACACTGCTGTATTGTTTCTGCTTGGGTGAGCACTAGCTCTGTTCAGTATAAACAAATATACCCAAACGTGCAGTTGTCAAACAGTCTGACCTTAGAGGTGCCAAATTCATGGGAAAGTATGGTGCAGTTTGATTGTGTGAACAAGAGCAGAGCCTGGGGTCAGAGCTACCAGGAAGTGGGTTACCTTGAATGCTGGTTCCCAAACCCTTTGTTAAAAAAAGAAAAAAAAAAAGCTGTAATAGAGGTTTTACAATGTTCCTTTGGGAGCTAATAACTTCAACTGAAATTATCCTCAAATAAATTCATGTGTGACAGAGGGGACAGGAGGGGAAAAAAGAGAGACATTAGAGAGAGAGGTTGTAGAGACTAGTAGAGACTACTCCCTGTCAGAAATACTTTGTGAAGAAAAATGCCCCGTGACTGAAAGCATCATGGCTTAGGCTTAGGTATCAAAACAAAGCTATTGCTCCACACCAGTATGAAACTGGTAGGGAAAAATACCAAAAAACCCCTTCACAATAGAGAAATGATGACTTCAAGTCAGCTCTCAGACACATTATCTTACATAAAATCCTCTTCTTTCTCAGTTCCCATTTTCTTCCAGTGTCTTCACCCCACCCTCCACTCAGACACTTGTGCCTGGTGCTCTCTGGTGGGGCTGAGGTTTCCTGGCTGCTGCTGTTCTCTCTGCTGAGCTGCAGCTGCCCATTTACTGCCTTGGCAGGTAGGGAACTCCTTCCCCTAGAGGCTGTCCATGTGCCAGGCAGATACACAAGGTGTCCTTCCCTGCCTCCACAGAGCAGGGCCACAGACTGTCCCCTTCCCAGGGAGGCCAGCTCTTGGTTTAAGGTGTCACAACAGCTCCTCCTGATACCAAACATCTCCCACCCTAAATGTGCACCCTCCTTGCTGTAAGAGCCTCGCTTAGCATGACCACTAAGGAAAAAGAGACCTCTTCATTTCATCTGCAGGTTGGTTGTATGTGGGGCAATATGCTTGTGGAAGACTGGATTATTAATGGATTTATCACGTGAAACAGAAGTAGCTTGTCTGGTCTAACACTGCAAACAATCCCCCAGGGTTGCAATTTGTTGACAGAATTGCTAAATTAATCCAAACCTAAATATTAGTGCTTTACTGTCCTTCTAGTATTGCTTCCTTCTTAATTACCAACTCCCATAGTGTTATTTGATCATCATAACAGCTAATAACAGCTGCCAGACTGCAAAGCAGCTTCACACTACAGCAAAATATTTAAGTATGTAAATCATATCATCTCCCCTAGAGAGCAAGGCAGCAGTGTGGTGTCAAAAGAGGTACTGATAGATTCCTTTTCCCCAGAACATTTGGCACTTCATGTAAAGAATTACAAGGAGAATAACCATTCACTGCCAGTAATGGTTCTCCTAGCATGAACAACCAAAAAGAAATGATAGAAAAGCTTCACATTTAAAAACAGCAGATCTGTCCTGATTAAGTCATCCATTATTTGATGGATTATCTATTAATGCCATGAGAAAACAGAGAGGAAAAATTATGATTCTCCAACCATTTTCCCTTTGAATTCATCTTCCTACTCCCTTGACAGG